TCATTCTGCTATACTGAGGGAAGCAGCTTCAATCCTGGCAACGCCACTTAGCGTGATGTTTTCACACTCGTTAAACCGTGGCAAACTGCCTGAAATTTGGAAGCTAGCTCACATTACACCAATTTTCAAAGGAGATCGACGCAGTGAACCCTCACGCTACCGACCAGTGGTCCTTCTCTCCATTCCTTCTAAAATTATGGAGTCCCTAATATACAACGGTATACACGAATACTTCATATCAGTAAAGTTCTTCTCACCCTAACAGAATAGTTTCAGGAAGGGTCACTCTTGTATAACCAACCCGCTGACTGTGGCGGACAGATGGACAAGCAACCTTGATCGTGAGGGCAAAGTTGACATTAATTATCTTGATTTCTCAAAAGCTTTCGATGAGGTCAACTATATATGTCGCATCAATAAGCGTAGACGATTGGGTATCAAACCCCCTCTGATTGACTGGCTCACTTGATATCTAGAAAACCGACATTTTAAGGTCAGGGTTAACTTCACTTTCTCTCAGGCTATGGAACGTCCTAGTGGGGTCCCCCATGGTAAAATACTAGGATCTCTTCTCTTCTTGATTTTCACTAACGATATTCCACAACAAGTTTCATCTGACATTGCTTTTGGCTGATGATGTGAAACTTTGGAGAGAGATACGTAGCAAAAAGGATATGCTAGCACTTCAGGAAGATCTGACTCGACTTCAAGGTCGGACATGTAATGTGAGATCGATAAACGAACACACTAATGGTAAGGAGAAACACTCACCACCACACTGACTTCTTTGACCTTGAATGACTGTCTTTGTTTTATCCACCAATCACAATTTTATGTTCAATCTATAACAATATTCACCTTGTTGACTCATTTTTCTTATTCTCCAGTTACTTCTCGGTATGTTATTTATATCTCTCCTTTTTCCTATGTAATAGACTGTACTGTTTATTCGCATACCAATGTTGTCGATTTACCTTTTAGAAACAGATAAAGTTTATTAAGCCAAATAGGTTACTTGTTCTGACTTTGGCGAAACGAAGACTCTGTACTCGACGGCCTAGAGAATAGCTCAAAGTTGCACCTGTAGGAAATGGCTTCCTATAGGGCAGACGACAACGGAATTATCTTCAACACTTCAAAGTGTAAAGTAATTCATCTGAGACATGTTGCAGACTATAGTTACAACTTATGTAACTCCGCTCAAGGATTATACCAAGCCGAAAATGATTTAACAGTGTTGGTACCATGCGAGTTGAAGTCGTATGCTAACTGTGACGAAAAAACGCATTTCAAGCAAACCATGCACTAGTAATATTGAAGCGCATTTTTGGCCAGTTTGACGGTAGAACTTTCCACATAATATTCAACAGTTTTATTCGTCCCTATTTAGAGTACGGAAACAGTATTTCCTCCCTCTCTCCAAAAGGATAAAGACACTCTGGAACGTATCCAATGTTGAGCCACGAAATCAGTTCGGGGACTCAAATTCAAACCTTATGAAGAGCGCCTCCAATCACTTAACCTTTACCCGTTAGAGTACAGGTGTCTTAGAGGTCACCTTCTTATGGCTTACAGTATCCTTAACACTTCTGGTCATCCCCTTAAACATCTACTCAGGCTCGCTCACAACACTAATCTAAGGGGTAACATCCAGAAACTGGAGACCCAACATAGCAGAACGGACTGTAGACACAACTCCTAGTACTCAAGAGTCGTCAAATGCTGGAATTCGCTGCCGACTAAGCTAGTCCAAGCGACTTTCCAGGAGTCCTTCAAGAGGAACCTTGACCTATTCTTAAGGATTCAGGATAACATCTTATTATGATTTACCAATTTCTTTTTTTCCTATTATCGTTAATATACTCAGGTTCCTGCCTGTAGGTATTCGTGATCCACTGCCACTAGACATGAAAGCCCATTAAGCAAAAAGCTTTTATTCCGTCCACAACCATTCGAAGCATTTGTAAAAAATACATTGGATATTGTGAGACCTCTGAAGGTCGGTCACATCTTCAGGTTGGTGTAACATCACTCCCAACTTCTTTTTCTTGAGCTACTTTGTCTTAATAAGAGTGAAGTAATAGGAGATTTCGGTACTTCTCATCTCACATATGATCAACATTGTTCGGACTACAGACGGTAGATTATTTGTCAACTTTTGGAAAGAGTTATCGGTTTTAGGGAAGTGCGAGGAGTAATGTGATTGGAAACCTTAACTTTCTACTGATCCTTGAGTAAATTGCGACCGTTTGTTAGGTATGAAGGAGTTGTGGAAGTGTAAGGAGTTAGATTTTCGTTTCTCCTCACAATTTATCAGCTATGCACGTGAAGGAAGCAACTAGGTACGAACCGGGTTCTGCATCATTCTTACTAGATCTTATATTGACTCATTATGAGGATGACGATGCAAACCTGCATTACATGCCACCCCTAGGCAAAAGTGATCATGCAGTTTCAACCTTTGACTTCCATATGACTGTCGATCACGAGCACGCCTCAGCTCAATGCAGACCTAACGTCTGGAAAGCAAACATACCAGACATCATGAAATCAGCATCATCAGTAGATTGAAAGTAGACCCAGAGTCATCAATCGAAACGGCTTGGCACGTATTCCGGAATCTATACTTAAGAGTTACTACCTCCCCTACATCCCTTGGATTACACTCAGGGGGCCGAGAAACTCCCCACCGTGGTTCAGTAGGGAGGTTCGCATCCTTCTCCGTAAAAGAAGGAAAATGTGGGATAGATTTAGGTTACTGGGGACTGACGAGGCAAAATCTCAGTATCAAAAGGCTCGAAATACCTGTGCCTCGACCCTCCGTAAGGCCAGAAAGCTGTACGAAGAGAAAATCGTTAAGGAATCCATAGAATGCCCTAAACGCTTGTATTCGTATATAAACCAAAGGCGAAAGGAAGAAGAAATGTTCTTTCACTATGAGGAGATAGTACCGCCTCACCACTAGTGGAGGACGACTTTGGCAAAGCTCAAGTATTCTCTAAATACTTTAGCAATGTATACACCATAGAAACACCCTTCTCACCAGTCCATGAAAATCCCCCCACGCAAACACTGGACAGCGTAACCATTAAAGAACTCGATGTCCTTGGTTTGCTAGTTAAGCTTGACGTAGGTAATCCACTGGACCCGATGAATTGCATCCTAGGTTACTAAAGGAATTAGCTAACTTTGTTGCGAACCCTTTAAGTGTATGTTTTAATCTATCCGTAACCCAGGGTTGTCTACCAAAAGACTGGAAGAACGCCATAGTAAGTCCAGTCTTCAAAACAGGTACAAAACACAAGCCTGAGAATTACCGACCAATTAGCCTAACTAGTGTGGTTGTTAAAATCCTTGAAAAGATTATTCGGATGGAGCTGTTAAAGTATCTCGATGAAAACCGGATCCTCTAGGAAAAGCAGCGTAGTTTTAAAACAAGATTCTCTTGTCTCACAAACTTATTAGTCGCTCGTGAAAGCTGGTGCGCTCTTAAGGACCAAAAGTTATCTTTAGTCGTAGCTTACATCGATTTCAGCAAAGCTTTCGACAAAGTTCCGCATAACCGGCTGTTATATAAGCTAAGGAATGTCGGGATTGAAGGCAATCTATTGATGTTTATAAAAGACTTCTTAGTTGGGCGTCAACAAAGAGTACGGGTGAACTCCAAGTTGTCTAGCTGGACAACTGTGCTTAGTGAAGTCCCCCAGGGTACAGTTTTGGGGCCAGTGTTATTCCTCCTGTACGTAAATGACCTCCCTCGTCTACTATTGTCATCGGTCTTACTCTATGCTGTCTATGTCAAGATATGGAGAGCGATACAAAGCAAGGGTGATAGCTTAGGACTCCAAAATGACCTGGAGAAATTATCTGAATCGTCTTAAACCAGGTAGTTGCCGATAAATACTTCCAAGTGTATTGTGATGCACATCGGTCATCAAGGCACAGATACATACATGCTGAATAACACTGAGCTACCTGTTAACCAAACACACAATGACGTAGGAGTCATCGTTAGTCAAGACTTAAAGACTACTGCACATTGCCATGCAATAGCCGCCAAAGGTTTTAAAACCCTACGTAGGGCATTTAGTCATGTCGACGCTAAAACACTTTTGACTTTGTATACAGTGTTCGTGCATCTTAAGCTTGAGTATTGCATACAAGTGGCTAGCCCCTGCCTAAAAAAAGAGTGAGCTTTTGGAAGAGGTTCAGAGAACAGCAACTAGGCTGATTCCCGGAATAGCGAAGCTCCCGTATGGTACTAGACTGACCAAGCTAAACCTATTCCCGTTGTCATATAGAAGAATCAGAGGCGACTTGATTACAGTTTTCAAATAGCTTAATGACAAATTTGCACCTGATATGCCCTCATTTTTCTAACCTTCCAAATTAGAAAATCTACGAGGACACTCTGAAAATGTTCACAAGCCCAGAACGAATTACTTGTCAGCTGACTACCGACTTTCCCATCTAATAATCAACGAGTGAAATTCATTACCTCAGCACGTGGTTGAGGCTCCATCCGTCGACTCCTTCAAAAGAAAGTTGAATCAGCTGAGAGACCATCATTGCCAGGCCATCAAGCCTCCTGTCCTTTCCAAACTGAAACTGAAACTGAAATGCACACTTTATGCGTATAAATTCGAAAAGCACGATCTTAGGTCAAAATTCTTCGTCCATACAGTGTAGTCTCACCGTACACCAGTTATAATCCTGCTATTCTTCAACTCGTTAAACAAGAGGTAATTACGAAGATACAGTGGAAGTGCACTTCCACTGTATCTTCGTAATTGAATCATCACCCAATCACCTATGAGATCATCTTGACAGCTAGTGTCGTTCCGCGCACATGTTTGAGTTTTGTTTCACTTGTATTTGGCGATTTCTAAGTAATCTAATAAGTAATCTAAACACCGATCACAAGGATTTATTGACTACTTACTTATGCTCAGCGACTTTCAACTTCTGTATCGCTGTTTAATTGCATTGTGATCAGGGTCGTTTGAATAGGCGCAGATTTGGGGATGCGAAGTATGAGTGGAATGTTCTCAGGTATTAAACAGTTGGAGTCCAGACTAAAATCGCTCGACGAACTTGATTTTGAAGTAAGTATTCAACGTTTTCACCAAAGGGGCTTTGAAGGCTTTAAAGGAAAAAGCTGTTTGCTTACTCAAATATAATCAGCAATTGGAAAATATTATATCAAAGCTTCGAAAACAAGAAAATGATGTTCCAAAAGTCACCAAACCATTCATTTTTGACAGGTCAGTTTTTTTCTACCAATTATTTGGTAGGTATAAGAAGCGTCATATTGCGTTAAAACTGTCGTATTTGGGTTGGAATTATTGTGGACTGGTTCCTCAAGGTTGTCTCGCACTAACGGTCATGGACCGCATTTTCGACGCACTGGAAAAATCCAAACTCATTGAAAATAGGCACGTTTAATTTTTATTTCATTTCAACAGAAACGAGTGCGATTTTTCAGTTTGTGGACGAACTGACAGAGGAGTTAGTGGAATGTGCCAAGTAATTTAGCAATATTCAGTACTTATATTATTGTCGCTCAGGTTGTTTCTCTTGTTTCACGTTCACTAATAGCTAGAGGGGTTGGAGTTATTGAAGATTCAGGTCCTTGTATCTCTGAGCGCCAGGGTTAGATGGTTTTACGACGTATAATCTTCTATAGATGTTCCTGACGAAGAAATGGACTATGTTTCTGCATTGAACAAAAATTTACCACGCGATATCCGAGTCCTAGCTTGGTCTCCCGTCTCACCAGACTTTAGTGCAAGGTGAACTGATCATCGCTCAAACTAAACTTGTAGGTTTATGTGTTGCAAAAGATCTTATGAATATTACTTCCCTGAAAGCGGTCTAGACATCAAAGTAAGCGGTTCTATACTAATATGTATTTGTCTAAAGTCAATGATTGACGCGGGTAATCGGCTCGTTGGAGTACATGATTTCAGAAACTTCTGTGCTTCCCGAATCGAAAAAGATACTGTGACTTTTATACGTGAAATTTTCGAAGTGGTTGTAAGCGATGTAGACTCATGTGATCAGTAAGTTTCACATTCTCCGTTGTTTTCCCGACTTTTTTAGTAACTCAGTTTAGTAGTGTTACAACATGATGCTTTGATGTTGTCTAGTCACTGGACGTTATTTATTTCTTCTCATTGCTTTAGTTTGTGGCAAAGTCGAAAGTTTTTAAAAAGTGCTCGCTTGCGCTTGAGAAATGAGTTTGTATCAAAAGAGTCTTGATACGCCAATCTCTTAGGAATTATTTTGGACTATAATCCGCTTTCCATTGATTTAATTGCGTTATTTTTATGTTCCCACATAGCACATGGTAGAAGTCAGAACTGATGGATGAGGTTGTAAATAGCCGTATACTAAAGTAGTTGAGACGTGCTGCGTATGACTAGCTGCTACCTACCTTAAGCGTAGTGTTGAAATAGAATTCGGTTAAGAAGTCTATAAATAGCAAGCTAGTTTTAGTTTTCGTGCTCACTAAGTAAAATAAATGCTCTATTCAAATTTTTCCGCTTTTTCATGTCGTTTTTTTTCTTGGTGCTTGGTTGTTCCAATTTGTAAACAACCAGTACTATTCTGGTTTATTCAGTCTTTCATGAATAACATATCCTCAAGCATTTCAGTCTCTCATGGTTCGCAGTTAATTTAACGTTATATACTACCCTCTGTAAATACAACTAACACAGTCCACTCAGTGATTTTAACACAAAAATGACTTGAAGACACTTATGGTAAAATCATCTCAACATTTCATTTATACTTCCCAAGTTCAAGTTTAATCCGTATTCAAATAGAAACCGGACTCCCGCGAAATATTCTTGTTTTCTGATAGATCCTACCTTTACGTAACGGGTAATTTAATTTTGCAAAATACGAAGTATTTTGTATATACGTCTAGATTTTGTCAATTATCGACCCATTGTTATCGTATAATTCAGTAAATTCTGGAGTAGTAATATTAAAAGTATAAAAGTATTGTCCAATATCGATACGTGTACATACAAATCTACTAACGCATTTTTAATCCTACTTTTTAGTCACTCCAAGTTATGTCGCATTAGCATATCGGCTTCGGGTTTCCTTTATCACCAAATACGATTTGTTATGTCTATCTTGTTTATGGTAGGAAGGGGTTATGAAAGTCCATCAGTAAGTTAATTCTTACACTGATTATTTGCTGTCTATATGATCAATGGATTTCAAAGATTATCAATCATGGTTATTTTTACTTTCTTTTTCAATCTTGTAAGTTCGTACTTGCTTTGGTTTAGGTGATCGAATTGGAGTGTCAGCCTCCAGACCTCGGATGTAGCTCATAATCATACATGAAAATATATGCATAACTACGCGGTTTTATTTATTTATCAGTTATCATTTATAAGTTGTAACTTAGTCAACTTGATTAGGCTAAATAATTCATAATCAGTTGACAGACTATAGTGTCTACTGGTCACTTAAAGTGTAATCAATTGTGGACGTAAGATACCAGCTGTAAGGTCTTCCACTTGAAGCACGATTTCCCAGAGTTCGTAGTGAGTGAAGAAATCAAAACTAGTGGGCAAGGAGTGTTTGTACGGAATCGCTATTTGCTTCTCGACGCATAAGAACTCTTGTTTGGTAATAAGTATCTGTAGGTCATAGTGGATCCAAGTATTAAATGATTCAAAACCTGAAGTCAGTAAAGCGAACGGTGTCAACAATCAGTACAATGGCGAGGCAAAACCATCTGCCGTTCTGTTTTAGTGCCACAGGATTTCCATTTTTGGTTATTACTGTGTTCAGCGTCTTCTCCATTTCGTTTCATGTTGTGTCACTAGTTTTGAATTGTATATAGTCCCGGTTAAGTGCTATAGGCAAATAAATAACATGGATTCAACTAACGCTATTTTTGATCTTCTGTTGGTTTAATTTTCGGTCCTGTTTGTCCATAATTTTCCTGACTGGTCGATAAATTGGATCGATTTCAATGTGCTTGTTGATTGCTAGTTGACTCGAGTGCCAAGCTTCTAAAAGTTCTCAGGCGTTTTGGAATTGTACGCAACTGCATACAAACCTTGTTCAAGAGGGAAAGGACACATTGCAACACATTTGTAGCACTAAAAAATGAAGAAAAATACCTGAAGAGCATCTTTCAAAATAGCGGCTATCCAATCAACTTCATTGAAAAATACCAGCCGCAAAATACCATCAGCAGAAACAAAGTCAAGTACGGAGGTCAACAAACAGATCACCCTACCATACATAAAAAGCATATCAGAAACTACAACGACTGCTGAAAACCTTCGGAATAGGTGTTGCGCACAAACCAACGAAATCCCTCCATTCAATCCTATGCAAACCAAAGGATGATATGACAAAAGAAGAAAAACCAAACATCATCTACGAAATAAATTGTGCCAACTGAGGAAAACACTGCATCGGACAAAGCCGACGCCCTCTTCATCTTCGCCTGCATGAGCATCAATTAGCAGTCAAACGCCATAACATGTCCTCACTTATATCAACACACATGAACAACTGCGAACATACATTTTACTGGAAAAATATAGAAATTTTGAATAGAGGTAATTCCAAAAGCACTAGAGAATTTTTGGAAGCTTGGCACTCAGGTCAACTAGCAATTAACAAGCACATTGAAATCGATCCAATTTATCAACCATTCAGGAAAATTATGGACAAACTTAGGACCGAAAATTAAACCAACGTAAGATACAACCAAAACAAAGAAGTAAACAATGACCGGTTCAAGGTCAACAAGAACTAATCCACATCGAAGTCTACACGACAAGCCGTGAACAATATGTGGAGAAATCTGAACACTACCTGAAGTTTGTGCTGATGTCGTTCAGAAGAATGATGGAAGCATTACGACCGAACCATGCAGCTCAGAGATTAAAACTCCATCAAAATCATCCACCTGTGCTATAAATCTCCACTATTATTATCTAAGGGCTTTCTGGTTAAGTTATTACAAGTAGTCTACTACATGTCAATATTATGGACCGGATTACATTTCTATTATCTACTTTACGTAGTAGGAGACACTGAGTCCAAATCTCTTGTATGATCAGTTGTCTTCACACTTCAAAAGAAGCATCATGGATAAAACAGCATCCAGACAGCTGTATTTCCGAGAAGACCATATTAAACACTACTTGGCAATAACACTTCGTTATGTTTAGTAAAAAGTTACTTCTTTTTTTACTTATAGATTAGGAATTAAACAAACACTAATTTCATTTCCATATTAAAGGTTGTTGATGACATGTTGGATTTGAGTAAAACTCCCGCTAAACCTCAATATCAGCTTGCAGCTGGTAAGTCTCTAAACAGTATTACAACTCTCTGAAAGACTTCCCATTGTTATTTATTGCTGGCACTTACCCAGAATCTTGTTTAAATTGGGAAACAAGTGAAGGTATGTGGATAATTACTTCACTATACAATAATATTTCTAGCTGCTCAACTAGATTTGGTCAAACATTATCAGAAATTGTGGTCAGAATACGGAATTCGGTAGAAATATTGTATTTTTCTTTAAACGATTTCTATCCAAATTATTTCCAGATCAGCTATCGTCAGAAGAATGTTGAACTATGTTGAAAGTATGTTTGTCTATTAATGTGTTCCATAACTATGTGAATTTCCGCTCTTTTAATGTTATGCTTGAACTAAATCGATTCCACGGTAACGAACGGAAGCCAATGACACGATAAACTATTCTAATCTGTTGTCCCAGGCCCCGCTAACTAGATGAAGAAGTCCAAGGCAAGTAGGGGAATATATATGTATTCCGTAAGCAGCCGAGTACAAGCAATCAAATAAGGGAAAAAGTCAAGCGCATTTATACAGCAACAAACTGTCCTTGAGCATCATTAATAAATAGCACACACAAAGAAACGATGGACCAATAGCGTTTAAGATAGTTTACAAGTGGGAAATATGACGTGAAGGTAAAAAGAGCGCGTTTGGCGCGAAAACAGCTAAATTCAAATTTCCAAAATAAAATTACAAAACTAAGCCATTTACCAAGTAAGTTCTGGGGATTTGACATCCCCAACATTTAATTAGCTCACTAGGATTCTTTATGAGGGCTTTGTATGAATTCAAACAGTTATGTTGTGCAGTCAATCACGCATAACATAATGCTTTATAGATGTTCAATAGGAAAAAGTAAACGACCAAAGGGTCGACAGTTAGCTTAGAGTACAAGTGTATTCGCCATTGTTTGTATATGCTACGCTCCCAAATCTGAGCATTCTCTTTTCAACTACAGGATTAATTATCATAACTTCTCTCTGGTAACCTAAAATTAAGTAAGAAGATAGTATCACTTTTCACACAAATTTATTAGTAACTTAATTTTCATTAAAATAATTTTGTTGACATACATCCATATCTAATATGTTTCCTGTTACAGGTACCGTCCCAAATAGCTCACTAATCAATCATCATTTGGACGAAATATCTCCAGAGGCTAAATTTATTAACCCTTTAGAACCGTCTAATAAGAAAACTGTAATTAAGAAGCTATCTAAAAGACATGTGGAACTTACTGTGGATGAGAAAATAGAAAAGTTACGTAAAAAGAGGAAAATAGATACGTGCTCTTCGGAAAAATTCATAGAAACAGAAATTACTGAGCAATGTACTTGAAAATTCTCTTAAACATATACCACGCTGAACCAGCCTTATTTTCAAAAATATGGTGAAAAAGTTTATAGTCTCTAAAAAAGCATTACAAACAGTAGAAGGTTCTACTGTTTGTGACATCACATTCAAATAAAAGCATAATTGTTCGTTATCTATCTCAAGTCAATGTAACCAGTAAGCATTAAATAAGAAACAACATGTACTTGGAGCACTTTAACTTTTTATTGCTAATTAAATTTAGGTTTATATGAAATATAACCTAGTAAGATTGAGGGATACACACCAAACATGTGGTTAAAGCAGGCCATAGGACTAGTCTTGAAGTGACTTCATGAAAATGATCCAGAACCAATGATTAGATTTGTTGCAATCTTAACTATACGGAAATTCAAACCCTCTTGTGTGTTCAAAAATAATCTGTACTGACAGTAAACCTACCCTAATAATATTGATTTGGTTTTGCCGACAGTTTAGTGTAATTCATATACTCCTATTCGCTTTATTTTTCGTAAAAGCATTTCAGACAGTGTATCATTAGGATGTTATATATATATATATATATATATATATATATATATATATATATATATATATATAGCACATGCAGCATTCAAGTAAACTCAGTTCTACCACCCATTAGCTAAATGTGGAAGAAAAGAACATTCAAGATAAAATCGTTGTAGGTAATGTATGTAATAAAGATTAAACATGACATCTGTTTTCAAATGTTTATCACATGAAAAAATGTTAAATGATTTTGCTCTTTACTTATGAAATTTAAATGTATATTAGCTTCAGGAAACTCTTTCTTGCTTTAAGATCAAAACGAATGAGTGCGTGAGCATTTGAAAATAAGTGGAAATAAAGTATAAAAGCAAACATGTCTTCATAAACTAAGACGTAACTGATAAATGAAATATCACAATTTTACGAATATGTACACACACACAAGCACATATTATTTGTCAATCCAATGTAATCATTCGGCTTGCAACTATGGCAGGTTAACAAGCGAGTTTGCCGCTCCTCGATCACGATCAGTTCGTAACTATGAAGTCAAAAGAAAAAAAACATTGCTTCAGGGATATTTGCTACAAATGGTTTTGAAGTGATCAGCAGTTACGAGATTTATGATTTAAAGGCTAGAACCCTGATATATTTAAACAGTTTCGTAGGTTATAACAAAGCCACACTTGAAATCGTAGTTATACACTGTCCCAAATAAATATATACGTCCCGTGGTAAATGTAGATGTAATATAAATACTTAATAGACTACAAATCTTTATCAAGAACGAATGCAAAATACAATTAACGTGATGGTGGTCTAGTCATCCATAAGGAATAAGACAGTTCAGGATGGAATCAACTGTGATTCAAGATGCTTAATTTGTTGATAGTTTTATTTTACCTGTAAGTTTTTTGGAGGAAGGAGATTAGCTAATGCTACTAACCTGACTGACCAGATAAAAGTAGGTTCGAATCTGCGTCCAAATAGCTGAAAGCAAAGTGCTTTAATCCCTAAGCTACTGCTCATCTCTTCAGACAACGTTAAACCCAAGCTTCACTGAAAACATAATCCTTAATATGCCGTTAAAATACTAAAATATACCGAGAAATTAAAAGTACATGAATATTGAACAATTTCCAATGTCTTACTCGATCTAATGATGAACGGTGATGTCTTTTGCGATTTGGCTTGGTCCGATTACGTACCGACGTCATATCTAACTTAAGCAATGGGTTGTTGGTAAACACATCATTGCTTCCTTGTTGACCTTTCATGAGGGATGGATTTTTCACATTATTATCAGAATTCGGTGAATCACATCTCTTGTTTGTCGCCTCTGTATGTAACAAATAAGGTGGAAGTCCATAGGTAGAAGATGATCTTTGGCGCAAACCCTTTTCTTCTGCATTACTGGATTCGGGATAAACATCATGCCTTAATTCGGGATCAGATGCCGTAACTGGAGAATGTGCACTGTCCGTGGAACTTTCATCATCTTCTAAATACCCATCATCTTCCAAAGATCTAAAGGAAGACAGACTGTATTTAGTAACGTGTGCAGATCTTGCATTAACCACCGGGTTGACATCGCTATTCATTGTCTGACTGTTGTCATACGCTTGTAGACCATAATCAGATTTACATTTCCGTAAATGATTAGCGTGGACACCACTTTTAATCAAATTGTTTTGGATCGATGCACAATTCACATCACATAAGATGTTTGAATTTCGGTATAAGTAACTGCTTCTGACATCGTAACAACCACTTAGGAAACGTCGTCTACACTTGGAAGACAGATTATTTTCCAAAAAGTCGGAAATATGCTTTTGTTCTTCCTTGCGGTATTGTTCATTTGAGGATGAAATTTTCGAACTGGATCCAGACTGTAAACAGTGATCAGTATCAAAATATCTTGATGTTGAATCTGAAACAACAGTGTGCGTAGATTTCGGAAGTTTCCCCACAGTAGTTATACTGCCACCACTGGAATCAGGAGCATTGTTATAAGTAGAAATATCAGTTATAGTATTTTTACCAGCCATATCAGGTAACTGAGAGAAATTTTGTAAATTGGTACTATCTGTTCTATGGTACTTATCAGAACCTGTTTAAAAAAACAAGCGTGTTGTTAGTCAAGTGCAAAGCTTTTACTTCGAGGTGATATATCTCTGATTTTATTCCAAGAACCAAAAAACCCATCATTATGTTTAGTAAATGTAAAAGTATTTTTTGATTACTTCAAGTACCAGATATACAAACTCGCATTTTATGAATTTTCAAAAGGTCAAACATGCTATTTGTTGGCCGGATTATACCTATACATAGTGGTTATTCTGGTCGTCGATTTTCCGCTAAAACTTTGAAACAAAATGTACCGTTATTTTGCATTAACACCGTCTCATTTACAAAAAAATGTTTAGTGGACAACATAAATACTATTTAAGACATTATTCTCTTCTCCGATTGGCATGATGACTGCCTTTTCCTTTCTCCCCTAAGTGGTGATGTAAATTAAAGCAAATTGTTACACACGTCTGTCAAATCCTACAATGTTCATAAGTTCTCTTGTTAACAAAAGCGAAAACGGTTACGTTTATTTTATTTCAAAACAAATGTCCAGATAAACAGTATTCTACATATTAGTAAATACTGTGGTTGACAGGTTGGGTTACACAAAATAAAGTAAACTGTACACCCTAGAGAGTTAATTGTATCTTCAAAAACAACAAATTCCTGAATTACACTGAGGTCAGCGTGATCAGACTCTTTATTTTTATTAATTAGTACACCTATATTTGTCTGTAGGATCGATGGTCTATTTCACCAACGAATAATGATGTAGACACCTACATGTTAACACCTATCGGTCCTCAAGCAACCTCTATCTCAGTCTACAATCAGCAGACAAATTAGCAAGCGGATATTTTTTTTATTGTACTTAATCAGATTTAATAACTCATACTATAATATAGCTAAAATATCTAACAGCACAGGGAAATAAACATTTACTGCGTATGTACGACACAGCCATAAGTGATAAAAAAAAGGAAAAATGAAATAGTTAATGATCAATCTGAATAATATGACGTATATATGCTTTAGACAAGAGCTTGAAAATAGGTTAATATAAAAATATGGTACTCAAAGTGTCTGATAGTTATACAACAAAAAGTATGGGTAATTTTAAGTACGATAGCTCTGACAGCTTAAATCCTCTTCAAAACGGCAGCTACATAATCAGTTTACAAACCATACTGGCCTCATAACTAAATACAAAACAGCCATCCTTATCGTTCTTCTATTATCGATATGTTGAAGTTGCGTATTCGCTGACCAAATCGATCTTAGATATTATCAAAGACAATATCCACTACACAGTGTACATTAATCAAATATTATAAACATATATTTGTGTAAACCGGAAACTTATACTGGGTATACAATGAAAATGTGAGCACGAATCTCTAATATATTCAGGAAGGATGTCATCCCTTTATCGAAACGTTTTCTACCTTACCGAGTAACTACTCAACAGACAGATGAACTAGTATGTCGTGAGTCACACGTCAATATTGTTATAATGATATAAGTGACATATGAATATTTAGGGCGAATGCATAATTCACTCAAAAACAAACTCCAAAGTCGTAAATGAAGATAGAACTACCAGTTCATTGACTGAGTCAATATTAGGGAAATCAAAGTTGTCATTTACATGCAGAGTATCAAAACAAGATAGTTTGACTGTGAATTATTAGAAACACATGTTTGATCATCAATATTAATAAACATCATAAATAACCAATAAGACTGGGACCGTTTCTATTGTATCAAGTACCGTACTACATCGTTGATGATCAAGTTGGTACTGGATACAGAGTTTATGTACATTTACATGTCAATCAATCTATTTTATCCCCCATTCTGAAGGATTCGACAATTCGCTTATTACATACATAACAGGGCCAATGAATTCATCCACAAACACGTCAAATATATATGAAAAATAACTTTGTGCTATGTCGTATAAACCGGTTGCCTTCATGATCCAGACGACCAAGTAAGATTTATACACATAACATTTTAAAACACTCAACTACAATAACTAGCTAATTGAAAGGATCTTTTGTTGTTATTACTTGATCATTATTTGATAATACACAATATAACAAATTTACCCTCAAATCCTGAATAATCCATTAATCATTCGTTTTCGGAACTTGCACTAACTATTAACCATTATTACCCTTATTAATGTGAAATTAATAAGACTTTCCAACAATCTATTACTGGTTTTCCATAGGAAATTCTCTCAAAACCTAATGATATGGTCATTATGAAAAGACAATTGAAAAGAAATACTGGTTCATCTTATTTTCTATTCCTATTTATCTAAACATAATAAAACTCAGCTTATTAAACCGATGATAGATTAAGCTCTGTTCAAGTGATATATTACTAAGCCCATGCTTACGAATATATCTATGAATTGTCTTAAATTTGTTACACGAAGTTTTTAGGTTTTTTTGTTGCTGCTATTATTCAATTTATTAACTTTTAATAAAAAATTTCATTATAATTGTAAAGCCATAAAGATAATTTGTCTTCAATCATTCCCAATTGCCGAATAAACTGATGTACATACATTCAAAAGTCACATAAATGATCGTGTTTTTATGATGAAACTAAATATTTTTTTATATAAGAACTTTCAACTAAATTAGAGCGAATAGTTTCACAGCATTTGGGCGCCGAGTTGATAATTTTGATATTTGATTATATTTCCTTGAAAAAGCTTGGAACAGACTGCCAGATGAAACGTTGGATTTACTTCAAATTCATTCCCTGAGATTTTACAAATATATTCATTCCTATTTAAAAACTTTTTTTCTTAAATTTTGCGTTTAAGTGTCATTGTATAAAAGCTGATTAGGTTCATAATAATCATGTTAGATGAATCCTTGTATTAATATTTAGATTCGAAAATCAAATGCCCAGTACAGAATATAACAATATATAGTCAACGTTATGAAACACGAATTAACAGAGAGAAAAAACACCTACCTGGAGAATTCACACCTTCGGATGTTTTAGCTACACACTCAGCTAGATCAATGAATGTGAGCTGATCACTAAAACTCTGTAAGAAGAAAAGAACAGAGATATATATATCAATGGTCACAAAAGAATCTTATATTAATCCATTGTATGACTAATTAAGATAATTAACACATTGTTCTCACTTAGAAAACCCTATTATCACTGTGTTTAACAGTCAACCTGAGTGATTAGACTTGCAATAATAGTGTAACCGCTTAAACTGCTAAACAAAAAAGGAAAATGTTAAAATTACTGTAAGAGCGAGAACATACGTTTGCTAAACTATATACAAAATAAACAGATTATGAGCAATAGTCAGAACAAAAAGTTTGCGTTTGTCGTAAGCAAAGTGTATATCAGACCAAGTAGTTAGAATACTTCTTTGTTTTAATCCAAGGAGATGTTATTCGTCTTCTTAAAATCAAATGAAGAATACACCAGTAGAGTATCAGTTTTTCGAAAATCAAATTAAACAGGCTGCATTTACTATCTAGTTAAGAAAACATTTAAGAAATCTTGAGATCGGACATCCATGAAGACCATGAATATTTCTCTCTGCATCAGATAAAAACTAACAAACCTATCATACAATTGAAATATTTGGGGAATTATGGAGTAGTAAGTAGTGTGAAATATTTTTTTAAACGTAACATACAGAAGATTCTGCTATGAAACAAACTTTATAAAGGTTAACACAAAAGAGGTTTGAAAGATGCATTCATTTACCAAACCTGTAAGTAACTCGTCTTTTCTCCCACTTGCTTATAAATTTAAGGATTGTGAAGTATGCATAGTCAATTTGATTTGCCAGTGTATATCACAACAAAAATTTCGATTTTCCTTTTATGAACTGAGACGATTTATTATTAGGACTAATCATTAATGAACAAGGCAGAAAAAGACATTATTAGAAAACGAAGAGATTTCCTGTTATTGTTAATTCAACTTTTCGAGATAACGTTACATATACAGATCAAGATAATGTTTCCGAAATTAAAAGTTGTGTAGATACAAATATCTACATATTGTATCAGTTAGTAAGAGTGACTATACACAGCTTTAGAAATATTTTATTCTTTATAATAAAGAAAGATAATCAATCTATGAAACTAGTCAACAGCAAAAATCCTATTTGTAAAACAGAATGTATAACTCCACTGAAAATATCATCATAAATCTAAAGATAGCCAATAGATTTTTAATATGACCTACTCGACTGTTCAGTATGGATTGATAAAATATTCTCATTCTTTTACAATGATAAACCGGTAAATATCACAGATTTCTTTGAGAGTATTTTATAATGTTTTAGTCATAATTTCATCAAGAAAATTATTTTTATAAGGATAGAGGATTTACAGAAAAATAAAGTTCCAACCTTTTCGTCCTATTATTAAGAGACTCCTCAGCAGTCCCATAATAGGACGAAACGGCCGTTCAGTGCTTCCAGGTTGTCCATGGTAGTCTAGCTTCAATTGACTCACACTTTTAACTATGAAAATACTAAATCTCCACAAAACCCCTTCTGATAATTAATATAACCTTTTTGTTTCGAGAATCCTTCTAAAAATAAATCTTCTATAAATGAGTCATGGAAGATAATATACTAATCAACTACAAATATTTTACTACAAAATGAATGGTAGAAATAATTACAAACATGTTAAATTATGTTACAACTATGTCTAATGTAACCTATCAAATTAATACGAACATGAGATGGTAGTATTACCAGTATTTCCGATGAATTCTTTTGATAGAAGTTTAGTCCAATTGTCATGATGGATATGATTATGTAATGCGCTTCATATTAGAATATTCATGAAAGCAAAATATAGCATATGAGAATAACAAGTGAAGTGTAATGATTTCAAATAGTAATTTGATCGATTCATACAGGATAAGGCTTTAATTTACGTTTTGGCATATAAAATACATTTTGAACAACAAAAAACGATATAATAATGTTTAAAAAGAAAGTTGGTTTTTTCCGACATAAATTACATTATATCCCTTGATTTATGTAATTTAAAACAATGATTTTGACAACTTTGCTATAAAATAATGCATGTATATGTTAAAGATCCAGTATTTTAGTGTATAAGTCAGTTATGAGTAAAAACGTTGAACCAATATAGAATAATATATCACAATTTACTAACCTGAGTTAACCAGTTATGAGTTGTTGGTGAATGAACTGGACTTATTTGAGTACTTGTCGGATCTATCTCACATGTAGATATTTCAGTTGAAGAGGAAATATGTGGTTTTACACCAGGTATGAGATTTTGTAAACGACCTTCTTCATGCCAGGTATTAAGCACATGTTTAATGTAATCATAGCCAACATTCTATAAGAAAAATAAGATAGTTAAATAATGTCTTTAGATATGGTTCCCTCTTGTAATAGTAGTAGTAGTAGTATTCAAATGCGTTACATCAAATAATAGAAAAACTTTACTGCCAAATTCTACTTGTTCCAACTTCATGTGGTTTATTTTTATTTTCGCAAAGCTTTACATTGAATCACTGATTTGTTATTAAAATGAGTAATAATGACTATTCAGTATTATATTTTTTGTACAATATAGATTTCTCAGCAAAAGGTATTTCGATAAATCTCTCATGCAAAACAAAAGAAAAAAACCGATAACTGTACACTTATAAATACATACAGTCAATAAACAAACTACCCAGAAGTAAATGAACTGTTTTTTTAGAAGATTTAAATCTGTACAACTTTTTCAATTAATTAAAAATACAAGTTACTGACTAGGTCACCTCTAACAACCTGTTCACAACATAGTATATTTACTAGATAAGGTATTGCAGAGCTTTAATACATTTGCTTACGTACATATATTCTAATGTGTTAACGTTTCACTCTACCCAAAAGATATACAATGGGAAATACGTGAAAGTAGTAGATAGTATTTGATAAGTGAATACCTGTCAGAAGCTTGCAAGATTTTAGATGTCTATTCACAACCATATTATTAATGACCTTAAAAGATTTATTACACACCCTGCTAGTTACCGCCAGTACTCTCCTCAATACAGCAGTGTTTTCTTAAGAGCCTGGGAAATAATAATGGAGGACAAAAAACAATAACTGATAATATGCAAGAATTAACAGATCGTAAGAGTGAATATCGAATAATGACAAAAGCATGCAGCCTATTTATGTAATAAGTTGGATGGGAAACTTTCCTCGATAACAACAAAACATGAGAAGACCAAGAGAGATCAGAGGAAAGACTTACACCATGATAAATGACCTTTGACACTGTTTTTATTAGGGAATCTGCAATAGTATAAGTGTTATAGGATTCTAACAGGGTGTTTAAGTGCTGTTCATGTTCCAGGCTAAAGTTAACAGTTTGACATTTAGATGGATTGAGTGTGAGACTACTGACAACAGACCAACACTTAATAAGAGACAAAAGCTCATTCATTCCACGCGGATGTGAAGAGGTGGAATTCTGTATGCATACAGTGAGATCATGCTGAACAAAAGGGGAAAAAGAAAAGAAAGAAAAGCTCCTTGTGACACACCTTCATGAAACAGTAATGACGTCTATCACTTTCTCCAAAACACAGTGTACTGTTCTCTTCCAGGAATGTAGGAACACAAACAGTGTTTATCCAGCTGTCGGTGTTGACGCTGATTAACTTGTTAAATAAAATTTGTCTTGAGATAGAAGTAAAGGCAGAAATATAGTCCTTAAAAGCGCATCGAACATACTACTTACCCTTTTTCAAACTGAACACTGTTACGATGAAGAACAACAGTAGAATCGAAGGTACTTTTTTGCATTTGTAAGCAAACTGATAAGAATCAATGTGCTTATCTAGTACAGGTTGAAGCGGGAGAAGCAATACTTTCTACAATATTTTGAGAAGGGGTGAAGTCATTGCTATAGGGGTCTGAATTTTACATTCTTATTGCCAGATAACTTTTTAAGTATTTGGATTACCTCTATTTATCTCCACATTTTCAGTATGAGATTAGCTGAAAATTTCCTGTATTTGACTTTGTTTGTTTGATGCAATAGTGCACTCTTCCCAAACTTGCCATATGTTTTGGGTATAACACAAATTTTACAGTGATCAGGACTAGACAATGGAGGACATTTACGAGTCACATATATTCTAACATCATTAATAAAAACTAAATCTAAGTGAGTAGCTGAAAGAGGACGAAAATCTGCTACATTTTGTTGATCTAGTGATGAAAGGAAGCTACAGTCACATGAATCAAAATCACTACATACAATTGGAAGTGAACCACTAAAGACAGTAACAGTGAATTTAGCGAATCTACTAGCGAAAGCATATGATGTGCAGTTCGAATTCACGTAGTTGTTGGTAACATGAACATGATTGCATTTAATCAAGTGCTTTGGACATCATTTTAAAGTTACACAGTCGAAAAAGTTTGTAAACTTAAAACACGCAAATGTAGATCGATACCAATTCACGTTTACAAATGTAGCTACACCGCCGCCACACATTCTTTTATTGCTTGATCGATCCTGACTATAAATATTGAAATCTTGCAGTGATAGTAAACAATCATAAACAGATGTACTGTCTTATGATGAATCAGTTGAGAGCAGAAATATCTTGACACTGATATATAAAAGAAAGCACTTTGGAATGAACACTTAAACAAAGTAAAATTTTATTTCCTGAGGCGTAGAATGAGAAACATCCTAGTAACAACTGGAATAAGTAAGGATTATGTATCACAATTTAACTGGATAGTAACTATTTTTGTGATCAAATTTGATGTTTTCAGAAGTTTCTGGAAGGTCAACGTCACATCTCAGCAACAAACAGAGATAATAAGATAACATATGAGAGGACATAATCTCACTGTCAGAAAGGAATATTATAAATGTAAATAAGTAATTTATGATTTGCATGAGTTGCATCTTCGCACTTCAAACTGAGATCATATCCTCATATAAATGATAGTTAAATGCACTAGTACGAAATTCACACAACTAAATCATGACAATGTTAATATTGATAATAATAATAATAATAATAATAATAATAATAATAATGGTGATAATAATATAGAAGCAAATAACTAACATTTATTTCATCAAACGCAGAGAATTGAAGAGTTAAATACTTATCGATCGGTGGTCGGAGATAAAAGCATATCCCACTGGCTTTTATATATTCCAACTGTCGAACACAAGAAATATAAGCTAGACGAGCTTGAATTTCTGTTAGACTTGGGATCTACAGTTTGGACAATAACAACAGCGGAAAAATTAATTCGATGAATATAACTGAAAATCACATCAATTTGTTATTCAAACTAAAATCCCAAAAAGACGTAACTAAAAAAAGAGATATCACCAAAGTAATAAGTGCAAACATACAAGGAAACAAAAATAGAAATTTTGGAAGACAGTAAATTTCATCAACATGCATAACACATATTTCTATACTCTTCAATTTAGCTATGAAGACATTTTCCAATTAAAAACACTTGTTAAATAACCAGTTACTTATTTACTCTGAAGAAGGTGCCTACAGTAAGTCACGAAACGTCAGGAATACAATTTTTCTACTCATTGGGATATAACAGAAAAATATATTTATTATCATTTCTCTACTTAATGCTCAATTTATTTGAAAATATCAAGTCCAACCTTGGCATTGATACTTATATGTTCGATTAATTAATATTGAGTATTTATTTATGTATGCACATAGTAAACTAAAACCTATGAATAATGTAATTTCCCTTTGAAATATGAATGAAGTTAACTGACAATAAAAAAATAAATTCTATCGAAATATAAGTTATGCACAAATAAACTACTCTATTGTGAATTTAGTAGAACTATTAATAGCCGGGAACGTATTTTATGGAGACATTAATCATATTTGGTCGATGCAGACCACATTATTTCAGTCCTCACGACCAGTAATCAAGGATGTAGATTGAGATGGTACAGAATCATTTAGAATCCTACAGATACATTTACTATTCATCTTTTGTTAAATTTTTAGTCCCAATATTCCTTCATAAATTCCTACCCGTTTTGTAATTTATAATTACATTTTTGATGTTTCGTTTTGCTCATAATCATTGATAACACATAATTTCAATTTCTTCTGCCATTTATCTTGTGAGTTTCCCATCATCATGCTAAAGTAATATAACTGGTAACGACAAGATTAAAAATGAACTTGGAGTTACAGAAAAGCAACTAAACACAAGGACAAGAAAAATCATAGCACTACAATACATGGTTCATTTACCAAGTATACACTTCAATACACTCAGCTTCGAGTATTATGATTTGTGCATAGCACTGATGATATTATTGGAATGTCTAAACAAAAGAAGATGAAACAGAGCTAGAAAGAATGACTTACTAGCCGTAAGCTAATTTTATTTACTAGTAATCCATTATGAAGCATAGTAGTAGTCCAAACATAATCACATATAGGAATGAAAACAGATCGGCACATCCCACTTAGGAAATCTAAATTTATGTAACTTCAGTTCCATATGGTTAGAAAGTGTCTGTAAAGGTAGATACAAAGACCAAACACGTTCTAGTCCGTAATATATATATATATATATATATATATATATATATAGCTCCGTTCTTCAAAGGGCCTCATTGCCGGAGACGGAAATCCGTGAGGTAAGGTGAGGCTTGACATTTTTAGGGTCGACCTTTTCTAAGCCCTTCCTCCCTTGTGAGAAGGTAGCATCGCTGCAGATGCTGGTTGTCCGAGGGAAACACCTTACTGCTGTCACAGCCCTCTACAGCCAGCAGTACGACTTCACCCTCAGACCTTGAGTTGCTGCTTTTAATCTGACCGTTCTCCAATCGACCTGCCTGGCATGGTAGAACCTACAGAAACATACGTTCCAGCCAATATAGCTCGGTTGGGTCATTAAGATAGGCAAGCCCGACCACCACGTCAAGGTAGAAGCTACGGTCGATATATATATATATATATATATATATATATATATATATATATATCAAGAGTCGGAAGTTTTAACATGATCCCACGATCGAAATGGACGTCATACAATAAACATAGTGATTAACAGGAAGTTTATCTTGCAATAACAGTTATGTTGACGTCCAGTGTTTTGAATAAGTTGTATTATGTAAGCGCGCTAAAGAACACCCTAAAACAGTACTAAAAATCGTAGGAACAAAGAATATACAACAGTTAGATTAGATACAGAAAAAATGAGATTATGATGACGTGTCAAGATAAAATTTTAAAAATATTTAGAAATTTTCTGATTCGAAGGTTATACATACGAAATGAAGGTTATGAGAGTGGACTGATAAAAATGCAAAACAAAAGATGAATGACTGTACAACTGAGTTAAACTACACTGAATGAGTTTTCACTAGCTGCATTTACTGTTTAAAACTAATCTTATATAAAAAGATTCCCTTCAAATTATTGACTTTCTTTATACAACTGATACGCCATCGGATATATTTCTATGAGGTATAATGAATATAATAATTCCTTACTAGGGTTTGCTTTAAGTATTTGAGTTGATGCTTACATAGTCCTCACAGAAAACATATGTGATTATATGACACAACCATTCGACTGCACTTCAGTTATATCGATTAGATAGCAGAATCATGTGTGATGCATACTTACAGAAGGAGCTCCGTATATTTAGGCTAATCAGAACAGACTGAATAGAGAAGATGAAATTTAAAAAGCCAACCCTTGGCAAATGCTTAGTAACAAGTAATTTGAACTTATTACAATCCACCTTGTTTATATCAAAATAATTTGAATCTTTTAGCATCATAACTATTTATTTGACGTTTATCCCTTTACATACATATCCAAGTTTTAAAAACATATTTCAATTTGTACTAGTAGTTTTATTTTAATAAATAAAATGACTGACGTGTCTTTGGTAAAACACAGAGACCGGACTTATTCACTAAATATTAACCAGTAATGACATAAAAGTACACACATATTCGTTATTTCACTAATAGTGAACTTTTCACATTATTCACATGTTTTGAACTCATATTCTCTTACTTCGTACAACTAACATATGAATATGATAAGATAAACGTTTAGTTTAAATTTAATTGTTAAAAGTTGAACATTCTTTACTAATTTCAATTACTACCCCGAAGTTGTCTAGATAAGATAAATATAATATTTACAAATAATTTCTTCCAAAAGTATGGGTGAACTCAAAGTTATCTAACTGGGAAACTGTGCTTAGTGGAGTCCCCCAGGGTACAGTTTTGGGGCCAGTGTTATTCCTCTTGTATGTAAATGACCTTACTCGTTCACTATCATCATCGGTCTTGCTGTATGCTGACGATATCAAGATATGGAGAGCGATACGAAGTAAGGGTGATAGCTTAGGACTCCAAAATGACCTGGAGAAATTATCTGAATCGTCTTAAACCAGGTAGTTGCCGATAAATACTTCCAAGTGTATTGTGATGCACATCGGTCATCAAGGCACAGATACATACATGCTGAATAACACTGAGCTACCTGTTAACCAAACACACAATGACTTAGGAGTCATCGTTAGTCAAGACTTAAAGACTACTGCACATTGCCATGCAATAGCCGCCAAAGGTTTTAAAACCCTACGTAGAGCATTTAGTCATGTCGACGCTAAAACACTTTTGACTTTGTATACAGTGTTCGTGCATCCTAAGCTTGAGTATTGCATACAAGTGGCTAGCCCCTGCTTAAAAAAAAGACAGGGAGCTTTTGGAAGCGGTTAAGAGAACAGCAACTAAGCTGATTCCCGAAATAGCGAAGCTCCACTATGATGCTCGACTGGCCAAGCTAAACCTATTCCCTTTGTCATGTCAAAGAACTAGAGGTGACTTGATTACAGTTTTCAAACTACTTAGTGATATATTTGCACCTGATATGCCCTCATTTTTCTCACTTTCCAAAACAGAGAATTTACGAGGACACTCCAAAACATTTTACAAGACCAGAACGAATTACTTGTCAGCTGACTATTGACTTTCCCATCGAATCATCAACGAGTGGAATTCATTACTTCAGTAAGTGGTTGAGGCTCCATCCGTCGACTCTTTCGAAAGAAAGTTGGGTCAACTGAGAGAACATCATTGCCAGGACTAAGACAGGCCATCAAACCTGCTGTCCTTTCTAAACTGAAACTGAAACTGATATACTTGGTATCCGATTCCTATGAAACTATTCGTTCAAATATTGACGAATATTTATGTAAATTGCGCTAGGATGAAAATCTACATCTTTATGTTATGTCAGTTAAAAGTATATATATAAATCTCATAGAAAATTTAACTTTTAAATAAATATGGATGACATAATAACAAGACGAGGTTTGTTAGGATCACGTGACATATTGAGAAAAACCAATCTAACATGTATATTACTAACTCCAAGATTTGGATACCCATTAAAAACATGAGCCAATAAGGTTTGCTACATATTTAGTACATTAAAAAGATGACCTCATCACCTAATTAATTCAGAAATGAATAAAATAGCTTTGCGTTGAAACGATGGATAAAGTCAGAAGTTAGTATACTGTACTGATCAGTCAATAGTATGTCTTAATCTGATGCCGATTATACGGATGTAAACTAAAGCTATCAGAGATTTATGGTTCAAAGGTAACAAAATGGTTAAAAATTAACGGGATATATATAATTTTGACAATGCTTTAGATGAAATAGTAAAGCACTCAAGAGAGAAGGATGCTTGAATTTTGTAGAATTACTTTAAATGTCTTAACTATAAGATGATATTGGTACAAACCAACGAGATTAAGGCGACAGATATATATGATTAAACAATAGTTCAAGATCTACGGACAAAAGAACATTAAACATGGAGTACGTCAAAATTTACGACGGAAAAGAAAAGATCCTCAAAAAGAAAAATTATGGTCAGATTTTTTAAGACAGATTATCCGGACATGGTCATGATAGATCATGTTTTTCAATTAGGCTATCTAAAAACCTAAGTGCAAAGAAAGAAGTATATGAAACGACATAGGTCTAGATAATTAGCCTAATACAAAACAATATAGTTGAGAAAAATATAAAGAAATCAGCAGTTTACATCATGGACTGATCCACAGATGAACAAATAATGAAAATCAGGAAACACTAGATTGTTTTTTCCACTTTAACTTGGGATTTCTCAGCAATGAGCATTTACAGCCCAATCAGAAATCGAACCTAGGAATTTCAGGTCTCGCGCGGAGTCTTTAATCTCCACACCGATGGATTTGCATCCGATCGTTTAGACATCTATCCACACTTGATGTGCGACAATGTTAAGATATTATCTACTGTCATTAGTAATAAACATCTTATGCCAGACATGGTTGAACTCCATTGACTGACTTTTCACTATAACTTAGGGAACTTCTTCTCGAAGTTCTAATCAGTAAGGATAAATTGAAAACAGCTGTCCAGTATTTCATATGTACAGCGCCAGTGAGACTAGTTCCAGAAAACACGCAAGACGACTGAGAACCCATCCCAGAATTTTTGTACTCACTGATAAAGGCCTGTTGTATCACGCTTATTTAGTTACGATACTGAAATCAAACAACATTTAGTTACCTATACAAGTGATTTTTATCTAACAAATGACATCTCTGAGACTTTTATTTTTAACACTGTACACTGACGTTGACAACGGTTGTAAAAACAGTCACTGTACAATGTAGTGCTGTAAAATGAAAGATTGTTAAGTTCAATCAAAATTTATTTATCCAACATCACTATGTATATGGGTTGTAAAATATAAGATGATTAAGTGACTTGAAATATTATCAAGCATGATTCAAAATTCAAATCAGTACTACTATGATTGTATTGTGGTGTTGTCTACTTATATCTATATAAGTAGTATATGGTGTGGGTCAGACATAGAATGTATTTTGGCAGAAGACCGATGAAGAAAGAACTGAAATGAAGCGCAATCGTTTGGAAAATGCATGAGCAATGGAATAAGAGAAGAAACAGTGAAGAAACTAGTGTTCTGTTCACTACAGTATACAAACTGTAAACTGAAACATTGACTGGAAACAAAATCGCTAGGTTTTATCAAATTTTACCTCTAATTACTTCGAAAGTGACTATACAAGAGATAAGTGGATTAGGTTTGAAACATTCAATGATATCAATACATCATTGTGTAATTTTTGAATTTAAGTTATCGTTAATTTTCGCAAGTAGCAGTCATAACCTATCAGTGCTAAGACATAACAGCTCAATGGTGGTTGGTAACCTAGTGTTAATTATTAAGTGGGTATGTACTATTTAAGACATATGTAAACGTGTAAAATAATAAATGGTTTTCATGACTGTAAAACGTGATTTCTTTTTCTTCTGATTCATCAAATGACAAATTCTAAAAAAATATCTTTCGATAAAATAATTATTTCTTCCAAAAAAAGATTAATTTGGATACTTACACGTAGTACAGGAGTGCCAACTCTGAAATATCGATTGTATAACAAATACCAACCCGATAAATGATCACCATAATTCGTAAGTTCTGTCTCTACAGCAGACCCAACATCATTAGCAAAGATCGTTTTCGCACCGAAACATACCATTACATCAGCTTAATAAAACAAAACAATTCATTAAAGGAAAACTGTATTAAGTAAGTAATGAACATGGAATTTTTTTAAAACGAATCAAGCGATCAAATTAAATCTAATGTTAACAAACTGAGAATAATGTTACCACACACGAAATATAAACACTATCCTTAACACTGTATTATTTGAATGTTTAACATAATGTATTCTTTTCAAATCGATATTGTTATCAGAAAAGTATGACAGTCGTAAAAATAATTTGTGTGTAAGAGATCCTAATAAATGAATTGATTTTACCCAAGAAAAAATTCAGCAAATGAAACTTTGAAGTCGTAGTACACCAATAAACAGTGGTATTTTCTAAAAAGGATTCTCGGAATCATGTATAACCAAATCAATAGTAATAAACATCCCAGGCATGCCCGGTAGTGATACATGCAATTATATATATATATATATATATATATATATATATATATATATATATATACGCTGCTCTGTATAATTCAATAAAATAAATATTAAACAGTTAAAATGAATTCATTGAATCAAACATCGATTAATATCCTAACAAATCAAAGCACAAGATGACGATGAAGTCGAATGATACTAGACAAAATAAAATATGAATGCCAAGTGAAATAAAAGAAGCTACAAAGCGAAACAAATACTGAGTGAGAATGAAGCGAGTAAATAAAGGTGAAACAATGTATTTGGTATGATTAATGTTATAAACATTCATAAATTCGTTCGAAATAATAAACCGCTCAATGTTAGGTCACTATTGAAAACATGGAAGCTCTGGACGGCCGTTTTGTCCATTATACGACCCCTAAGTAGTGCGCATCCACGATTACGCACGCTGGAATCGAACCTAGGACTGGTCACGTGTGAACGCTTGACTTATAGACCACTGAGCCGAGATTCAACGGTGTTAGTATCTAACTTCAATCAATCCAAATTTCTTGCTAACCCAACACATTGGTTGGTTTATTTAGTGACTAACTACTGAACGGGATCACCGAATCGTTCAAAGTAATTGCACCTAATTCGGAAGTGCAGAATATCTTCAAAGATATATTTTTATAAACTATTTGTGCTACAAGCTGACTAGACTAAATGCAACTAAAACCTTATACACAAAGCTTTTAAAGATCATGTGTCAAAAGTAATAACCAATGATGAATATTGTTTGCACTTCCTGTAAATTTAAAGAAGCAAGTCAATTGTATCATTGAAGAAAAATAAAGACAGGTGAACGAACAAACATTTTTTAGGCATTAAAAGTTTCATGAATCTGGATAGGCACCCATTTATGATGAGTGTATGTAGTAGTAGTTCATCAGCTATCACGTCACTGGAACATTACCTCGGCCATCGAAGATAAAGAGTGAATTAAGTTTAACGAGACTTAGTTTTGCAAATCCATATACTGGCCATCCAAGTTAGTTGAGTGTATACAGATCTTAAGAAAACGAAATCTCCTCTGAATTTTCATTTTTTGTAATTATATTTATAAACGGATGACACTCTTATTCACTGAATAATTCATAATTGCCAATTTTAGATCCAAAATTAAATAAGTTTACCCAAACAGATTAACTAGAAATTTATTTATGTATTAACAAATATCTACCATAAAATAAATGCACCAAAAAACAAGGCAATATAAGTTAAGAAAGTTAGTGTGTTGGCTTTTTCTGTTAATAATCACCGACAAATAATTAGGTATAAACAGAACGATACTAGTAGTCTACTAAAAAAAATAGATAACGAACTAATGAGTAGTGAAAATATGTAACATATCGTTACCCCATGATACTAATAGGCTTACTTTAAATTAGGATACTCATGATTATAAATAGAATTATTATACATTTCTTGAATATGTTGAAGTCTGTTAGTGTAGTGGCCATTGAATCATAAATATTACTTCAGAATAAGTATTAAACAAAACTGATGGAGGTAATTAGTTATTACAAGCATACGCTATACACGAAGTTATATTACTGTCATCTTAAAAATGGACATAGATCCACCACGATTTTCTAAGTAAAGAAAACTTCTCAGAATAATAAATCTAGAACAGCTACTAATTTAAAAACAAATTTATCAACTATATATAAACAACTTACTAGACTACTACTATCAAATCTATCCGAAAGAAAATATTTGAACAAGCTGATTGATGGTGTGAGTATGCTTGTTGTTTTGCTACCGAAAGAACATCCCTACGGGTAATTCCCATAAAATCCAGTCTAACTAAACTTATCAACAGAGTTTAATATTCGTTCCAAAGCACTTCCACTTTATTGAAAATAATAATCACTAGTAAAGAACATTTTAGAAATTGATTCTTACAGAAAATAAATATACCGTATGAGTTGTTATTTAATTTAAGATATTTCGGGTCGCGCCCTATGATTCGTGATGGTACCACATATTATACGAAAATAATTGTTCAAGAAAAGTGAATGAATAATTTATAAGAACTTTCATCTAAATTAGAGAGAATAGTTTCACAGTATTTGGGCGCCGAGTTCATGTAAGACATTAAATAGAAAGAATATATTTGTAAAATCTCAGCGAATGAATTTGAAGTAAATCCAACGAATAAATAATAATTGTTATTATTAACTGATTTTACACGCTTGGATTTTAAAATCAATCAAATAATTATCACGGTTAAATTAATTTTTTCCTATTTGAAACTTACAGATCACGACTAAAACTGAACATATTACTGAAATTGTATGAAAAACTACTGACCTGGTAGATTGTTAGTATACCCACCATCCAACAATAAACTTCCATCGTAAGGATCACATAATGGTGGTAAATAACCAGATAATGACATACTTGCACGTACATATCTCCAAGACGATCCTATATGTACGTGTATGTACGAATGATGTGTATGCGGAGACATCATACATAGATATCAATAAATCAATGAATAAGTAAAAATGTGAATAAGCATGAAAATGATTCGAAATATCAAATGTTTAATTGAAATCAATTGGAAGAAATGAAAGGCTATTTAATTTTTACGCAATAAACATAAATAAGTAGATAGATATTCACTGTTAAAAAGCAATATTCTTATAGCAAGATTAGTAAGCGGATTGAATTATTAGACATCTATTTATTGTGCATATGTGAATATAAACAAATTACGTTTTACGAGCATGCTATCTATTGTTACTGAATTAGAAATTTCATCTGAATTACACATTATAATTTCGTTCTTTGTGAATCACCATGTATTAGTGAAATAATTTTGATGTTATGATAAATAAATTGCGATTTTGATGGTATTGTTTTACAGTAATACTACCTGGGACATTGTTCAAGAAACTACCGTCAGCCAGTAAAGCACCATCATATGGATCACAAATAGGTGGGTCCAATGGCGGAAATGTTATAGCACCGCGAATGTAACGCCAAACAGACCCTAAATAGTGTCGTTGTCAATAGGATATGAAAAATTCATTATTATTCTATTGAAAATAAACTACCGATCTGTATAGTTTATCAAAGGTGAATTAATAACGTCTACGATCGACCACGAGCAGCAGGTAAAACAAATCACAAGGAATGAAACACGAAATATGGTAGAATAAAGAATATAGAAACTAGTCCTGAAAGGAACGACCAAGAAAAGTATCAGAAGCGATTTTTGAAAAACTACCAATGTGGATTCACAAGAAGAGTTATTTATAGAACAGAAAGAGAAATGATCACCCTAGTGGTAGAAAACAAGTCAACATCCACAAAGCATTCAAATTTAATTTAGGAATGGAAAATCATAAAATTTGTACATAGAACAGCTGGGAAGTCTTTAATCGAACGAAAAAATCGAAACATCTGAAGTAAATTTATGAAATCTAATATATTTAACGTGACCATTGATATGTCCTACTAAGTAAATGTAAAGCTGAAAGAAGTCATTTTAATGGAGGCTTTATTATTCAGATTATAATCCGTTTAATGAATCTACTTTATCCAAGTATTCTGATTGTGAAATTAGCAATTCATTCAACTATAGGTAGAAATTAATAATAAAAACCACATTTAATTAATCCAATGTGACTACTTAAGCATAAAAACACGAACACAAGTACTCATGGAATTTCATAAAACGACTAAAGAAAATCAGATATCTTCATTTGTAACATATATATATATATATATATATATATATATATATATTGATTTATGTCATATTAACTGAAATAAGTATGATGTTGTTTTACATATATTTGATAGGATAGGATGTCTATAACTATATAAAGTTATTCACGTTATATGTATCATCTTAATAGAAAAGAAGTCGAATTATAAATTCAGTAGATTAGATGATAATCAATATGTTCAGAACGTGATAAGCGCTCTCAGTAAAATGAAATATCATGATGAGATACTAACCGACAACACAACAATTACTATATTGGGTACGCATATTTCTAATAAATTAATTAGCTTCTACATACATGTTTATAGAAAAAGAAACCAAAAATTAACAGATTCTGTTGTCCATACAAAGAGTCACAGATGAATTAACAACGCGAATGAAGCAGTTTTTGAGTGAAGTGGAATGATTTTTCTGTGATTTTTTAAACAAGTTAACTCAGAAGTATATATTGTAACAGTACAAGTAATTCATTAGATTAACGTATAAAGTGTGCGTTTAATTGTATAAATATCTTTAGATATGAACACTGTCTATAACTTTAAATTACACTATACTGAAGAGAGATTACAAGATATAACGAACCCACTTTACCCAGTCTTAATCATTGTTTTAGCTTTGTTCAGATTCATAAATAGAACCCATTGTATGGAACACAAAATAAACTTGGTCATGAGAAATAGCAACCCTAATTATATTGGATGATAGCATACGCCTCTGAATTAATCATTTAGTAAAAAAGTAAGCTCCTTTTTCTTAAAAATACTAAACGATCATATACGATTAGTTTGAATAGCTTATTTTAAACAGCCGTTTGCTCAGAAGATTCATGAATACCAGACAATATGAAAATACACATAAATGTTTCCATCTAAAATCAATCACTAATCAGTAAAAAAAATACTGCTACATCACAATGGCTTTTAAAACTTATTACATAATTAGTAAATATAAACCAAAACAAATCACTACCATGTGATAAATTAGTTTTACCTTGTGTATGAATACGCATTTTACAATTAGTTATATCTGTTGTTACACAAAAGAAAGGAAGCCAAAAATCTTCAATTTGACGGTCATGAAATATCGATTGAAGTTGACGATTAAGTTCTTTACCTATCAAAAAAAAATAAAAACAGACGTAAACTATAAAGAGAAAAGTAAACGATACAAGTGACATCTTGAAATTGTTTTTGAGGGTAAGAGATAATTTAACTTTGTAGAATTTACTGAACAATGTTGAGATTGTAATTTGCTTCATTCATGAAATATACAAGTAAAAGATGGATAGTGGCTAGCAGTGGAATCCAGGAAACGCGTTTCGTCCTATTTGGGACTCGTCAGCTGGATGTACCTGCATCTCAGAGTTGATGTTCACTCTGGGACTCGAACCCAGTACCATTCGCTTCAAACGCCATCGCGTTATTCACTCGGCCACTGAGTCCTGATAGCCACTTGCTTGTGCAGTGGGGTGAAGTTTAAATTCACTTAGTATTGTTTTGTTTGAATCTTCCCATTGATGCTTTAGGACTGCAACATCAATAGGAAGATTTAAACAAAACAATACTAAATGAATACAAGTGAAAGTATAAATTCCCCCAAGAAATTCATTTAAAATAAAATTAAAGAGTATTATTGTTTGAAAATAATAAATACACAAGAAATTTGGGTCTCTAGGAGAACATGATACCTCTAGATGATTAAAAGGAAATACTATGATTTATATTTCCAACATTAAACAATTCAATATACATTATGAAGATCACAAAAATATCGAGTAGAAAACATACTTCAATAATAAAATACCTGGAAAATATACATTGATGCCTAAGAAACAATGAATATATTTCATTAATTTCCTAACTAATAAACAGTCTAATTGAAATTATTCATTATAATCAATATACATAAGCAAAACTAATTTGATTAAAATACTAACTACATTGAAAAACAAATCACAAAGCGATTAACCATAACGACGTATTAAAACTCTGACATATTACAAGTATAGCCAGGAAAATTCATTTGTCACTTTAGAAAAAAGGCTGGCAGTTCAGGATGTCAAAAGCTATAACATAAAGTAGATAATGAATAGTAAAAGAGATCTCCTCTTCTATGAATCCAGCTAATATTCACAAATAAAGTCAAGATAGAAAAAAATATATAAGGATAATAGATTTATTAATTTCATCAGATGGAACTGATTTTCAATAGTCGGTTGGTCATAGATAAGATCAAGTAAAAAAGCGTATTGACATAGCACACACACACATAGACACAAAATATTAAAAAGATTAGAAGTAAATAAGCGGAGACAATAAAAAATTAAACACAAACAGTATAGGTCGAAGTCGACGAGTAAAACTGAAGAATGAAAATTATGGAATAGCAATCAACCCAAAATTTCAACCAAGATAAATAAGGAATTTAAGTCCGTGAATACAACTGGTTTTTGGATCTTGTGCTACCTAACGTCTTAACCCGTATATTACGATGTTAGTGTAGAATCTGTTTAGAATGTTGGCAATGGCTAGAATAAACAAATAATGACTTTATCGAAGAATACTAACCTATAGACCCTGGATGATTGTTAAAAACTATTCATATTCCAGTTTATGAGTAGTACATTAACATAGAGAGGTAACTGAACGTGTAAAACATATATCTAAACCCAAGTAATTGGTTTCCTCCACAAATTTAAACAAAACAAGAATAGCAATATTTGCAGAACAGAATGAATTTATTTCACTTTACTGCTTTCTCTTCAGCAGCATACAGAGCTATTATGTTGATTTAATCCTAATCCAATCCGTTTTACTGAGTGTATAAAATGATTCAATACGAAATTAAATCAAAGTACTATTTATTAATAGCCATTGTTATCTAGCAAGGAAAAGAAATCGAAACATTTTGCGTTTAATTATATTAGACGTTAGTTAATACTATGGTTATAGATGGGTATGGAATATGTTACGCTTTTAGTATATTGTGTTAACAGTTTATACTTGATAAATATTGATTTAAATGGAATGAATATCTTGCAAACAAAATTTAATGGTTGGATAAATGATTGAAGTTCCTTACTTAACCAATAGGATAAAATTTAATTTTTTTCAAAATAACATACAGAAATCGTATATTCGATCCACTGCTACACATGACATTAAAATTATCAATAATACAAAACAATGATTTAACTAATATGACCAGATTATAATTTTCTAAAATAAACGAAGTAATCCCTACATATACAGGTTTTGGATTAAGGATATGTAAACTACAGTTGATTTTATCTACGGAATCTGTGTAAATGGTAAAAAAAAATATGAAAAATATTGAAACCGCTATTTAAATACTACGTGCATACAATAAGCGTTTTTTAGCGAGTTGGTTTTCTACGGGATGGGGTTGCTAACGCCATGCCCAACCGTTCTCCTTTATCCAGGCTTGGGACCGGTAGTAGCCCCCAGAGGAGCATAATAATCTTAGGAAATAGTACAAATGTACCACCAATATCGGAAATTTAGTCAGGCAAACAATAGAATAATTTTATATATAGTAAAAAAATTTTATTTATATCATTATAGACATAAATGTTTATTAGTTGTCTCTCGTTTTGCTAATATAAAGATAAAATTCAACAGAGACAGCTAGAGATGTGATGCATAATAGACAAGCTAGAGCAGTGAAAAGGGTTTTCAATACAGTTAACATCTATTTGTTATTTTCTGGTTGACCTGTGAAGGTTCCACAAATAAAGTTATTTGGTTTTGCGACATTTGCATGTATTTGCGAATACAGTTGTTTCTGGGGAGAAAACTGTTAGGTTTACGGCCATAATAAAGAATCTTACTAGTTTTCCCATTGCTTCTTTTTTCCATTTCTGCAGTATCTCTTTTCCAATAGTTATGTTCGCACAGTTTACAACACGAACTGATTCAAGTTAGACTACTATTGAAAAAATAGAAAGCGATGGATGGCCTGTGACCGAAGGCCCTGGGTTCGACCCATTTGGGTCGTGGATAAGCACTACTGAAGATTCCTATACTAGAACAAAACAACAGTCCAGTAATTCCTGGTTTTCGATAGCAATCAGTCTGTGATGTACACAATCAAAATCTAAAAATATCATAAAATATCTTGAGTGACCTAATATTTATAAGTATCCATGTAAATATTACTGTAATAATACATTAGTGTACAATTATATCATACTACATTTCATTTTATAATATATTACTATGACATGGTACAGAACATCATTGTAACTGGACTGAAATTGTTTGCTCATTTATGCTTCTGACTGCTTGTGGAATATACATTTCCCTCTGATCAATCTGGTCTTCGCCCTCTAATTAGCAGGGCTGGGAAGCAGTGGAATAGTTTAACTTGTCCTGTTGTTGTGTTGCTGACTTTCGTTTCGTTCACCGGTTTTAGGTGATATCTTAATCGGTACAAACGTAGTAAAAATGCTGTACTATAAAATGATATCACCTATGATTATGCGCTTTATTTGGATCATATGTTTAACATCAATTACAATTCTGTGACAAACGTTCAGTCAATTAATTTATGAATCATGCTTTTTAAATAATGCTGTTTACCGTTTGTATTAACCTGGTCACAGCAATAAATTGGGGTGAGCTCTGTAATCGTTTATATATATATATATATATATATATATATATATAATTTCAGGTTCTTACCGGAAAAAATCGACACTGCAGGATAAGTGAAGTCTTTTATTTTCTTCCATATAGAATTGAAACAGTTAGTGAAATCTCTGGCTCTTTGAGTAAACTGTGCAACACGAGTCTCATCAGCCCATAAAGCACCCATAAAAGAGCCAATACTTGTACCACCAACTAAATCAATTGGAATCCCAGCTTCCTGTTTAATTAAAGCGGAAGGTTTTTTTAAAAAAAGATATCATAATAACAAAACATGACACTTGTAAACGTTAAGCATGTTTAAGGGTATTTGAAAACAATAATTATATCGCTCATATCATAAGTAATACTATAATTTTAGTACAAGTTTTCTACGGTCATACGGTCATCAATTTTGAAGTGAAGTTTGCTTTACACGGAAACGAGATCATCTTATATAATTGAAAGATGCTATTTCACTCAAGAATGTCAATTTACTTTTCTTCTGGATTCTCTGACTTCTAAGATTCAGAAATTTTAATGCACAACCCCTCGATTAGCAAACTGTATAAAACTAAAAATAACCATAGCTATGTGCATTAACACAAACCCCAGTACGGTAACAAATAATTCAATTTTTACGGATATTTAAATATCCCTCTAAAAATAGAATATCTTCAAAAATAAATATCATCTCTAAATAGAAAAAGATTCACACAATTACCTGTACAATCTTAAAAGTAAAAAGTTTAATGAATCCCCGTACAGTTCAGATATTAATGCATAATTAAGAATATTTTACATCCTACAAAATAGCATAATAGTTTGATAATTTACTACATTAAACAATATCATTAAAAGTACACCACTAAACATGATTTATTTAGCCGATAATATTTATAACTTATCTATGATGTATAAATTCAACTTAGTATTGTTTGTTTGAATCTTCCCATCGATTTGTTAGGACTGCAACTGGTCAGTTTCTAATTGGCATATGTGCATACTGTGCGTATTGCCTCGATATAGCCTTAATTCACAAGCATGGTAAGCAGAGATGCAGATACATACAGCTGACGAGTCCCAAAATAGAACGAAACGCGCGTCCTGAATTCCATTGCTAGCCACTATCCATCTCTGCTTATCTATGATGTATTTTAAATCAGTAGATGTCACTGAAAATGATGATGTTGATAGATTTTTATTATACAATGTATCTCATCTTTATTATCAATGTTATGTTTAAGATTAGAAAACAAATTCTATGATATAAGTAGTTTTAGAAAAATCTTAATGCAACATCAGTCAAATATCAAATTGAAGCAAAAGTAAAAATACAACTATTGGAACATTTTTAAAACATTTAATAAGCTACCTATTTTATATTGTATGCAAATATATACATATATAGATATACATATAACAACATCTTCGTGGAATCCATATCGGAGACAAGGAACACACGATTATCATTCAATGAGTAAAGTTGTAAATATAAACTAATGGGCTTCGAATCACTGACGTGACAGTGCCATTCTCTTTGTGGGATCTTGGATGATTTGATTCCGTGTGAAATCATGGATATCTACTACTTAAGAGTCTAAAACTAAGGTGAAATAACTGTCTGACATTCTTGGTTTTTCAATCATTTCAGGCTGAGGTGATGCAAACAACCTTCGAAATCTTATATGTGACAACTACGTTTGTTCACTGTGGTAACATTTGTAAGAACAGACCACAAAAATACAAAGACCAATTACATGATACCGAATTAATCCGTTATAAAACATAAATCCAAGATATGTACATTCGTATTGGTACAAATAATTTGTAATACTGATCAAATTGTAATCCAGAGTAGTTACAGGGCTCTATGAGAAATCTTTAAGTTAATATCCTTGAATGACTGATGGAAATAGCGAGAATAAGTTCGTTTTAATCGTCTACCAATTCATAAACATATAAATATAACCTCATCTATTATTATTGTTATTTCCATTGAAAAGTTGGTAACAAAAGAGAGTTAATAGATAGCTAATTACACATCATAAGCTTTAGAAATGTCTGAAAAACATAACATTAGTTTTTCAACAGAATATACACTTGTACCTCTTTTTAAGAATTTAATGCTTTGATTTTTGATATATTATTAAAAGATGGAAGATTATGAACTTACAATGTATGTGGAAATATGAAACTATTTGATATAGTTGAAATCATGAGTCAATTGAAGCTAGGCCACCATGGAAAACCTAGAAGCACTGGACGGCCATTTCGTCCTATTGTAGGACTCATCAGCAGTGCACATCCACGATCCCGCCTCACGAGATTCGAACCCAGGACCTACCTATCAGTCTCACGCGCGAGCGCTTAACCACTAGACCACTAAGCAGGCCGGTATCCAACGGTGTTAATGTCTAACTTCAACCAATCTACGAAGTTGAGCAACCATTTCACCAACGTCTTCAGTGAGTTGATATCTCCCAACAGACCTGGTTGAACTCCATTGGTTACTGCTTTTCACTATAACTCTAGGAAATATCTCATGGAACCAGTCACTAGTGAGCGTATGATCATTATCAGAAGGGGGTTTTGTGGAGATTTTAGTGATTTTATATAGTTGAAATCATGAGTCAATTGAAACTAGACCACCATGGAAAACCTGGAAGCTTCAATTGATTCATGATTTCAACTATATAAAATTACTAAAATCTCCACAAAACCCCCTTCTGATAACGAAACTATTTCTTAGCCTGACACAATGAGAAGTAACACATTTTCATAGATATTATTTTTACTAACCAGTTAACTTATTTTTGTACTTGTTTACTGAAACATCCATTTTCCAGTTACTAGTAGCGAACGTAGTAGCATTTCTTAAAAAAGAATTCCAGTATAAACACAGTAGTTACTAGATTTTACAATTCAAATTTACCATCATTAACATTATTACTGAAGTGTAAAGCATACATACATGTTATCAAGAGTTATTAAAAAAAGTAACTGCTCACTTGAAAAGCACGTATCAGTCCGACATGTGAACAACCTCTTGCTCCTCCACCACCTAGAACAAGACCAACAGCCTCACCTACTAAGTAACGAGCAAGACGAGAGAAATCAGAAAGTGGATTAGGTTTTTCACGAGCAAATACTTTAGTATAAAAATTGATAAGATTCGACTTTGAACGAGGTATAAATACACGAGGTTCACAACGTATATGATAATGTTGACTAATCCATGGTCGAGCATTTAACCATACTGCAGTTTTACCGGATTCTGGATAATCTGTATCTAAAGGATACATGAGAATAAGTACTTTGGCAACCTATTTAAAGGAAAAACAACAAATACAATGTTTTTTATTCATATGAAAAACGTACAAGTAACCAACGTTATACTACATAAAAAAACGAGCTCACCTTCGTCGGATCATTTTTTAATACCATCTCTATTGGTGACGGACGCGCTGGATCAGACGAATGCAAAGCTAAAACCAAAATGCAGTCAGCTTGACGAATGCATATACGATTCCAGGCTGAAACTCGCTGACAGTCACAAACGAAGAAAACAATACGATGTGAGTCTTCTTGATGACTTAACCAAGTACTAAGTCTATACTGGTTAACGCTATCGAATGCGCATGAACCTAAACGTTTCAGTACGATATCTATGTACAAAACAATAAAAGGTAACGATATTAGTTTATACAAAATTATTAGTAGAATTAAGTAATATAACACTCTTTTGTTGGTTTTATAACAGTTTATATGTCATTTTTATTGGGTACCTATATCGCAAAGAATATTATTAGTAAAGGACGATACACTAATTGATCACTAAATAGTAACCAATACAATGTTATATATTCTTAACAGTTTATAGAGCGGCCACTGACCAAGTAGAAATGTGAACATTAACCAATATGTCTCACATTGAATTGCACTTCATTTAGCGTTAGACGGGAAATCAGTAAGAAGAGATATACCTTAGTTTCAAGTTAGTTGATATTTGCCAGCAAGGAGTATCTGCAATCTTGTACAAACTGATGATTTTCGTGGGACATGACTCCTCACTACTAGGAGACTAACTAAAAGGGCCTACTACGACAATTCAATTACAGCCAGATTATACCAGTGGTCTTATCACTGATTTTGGCACTCCATAAAATAGGTTCAAATCTAACAGGGAACAACAATCTTTTTAACATTTCAGATACACCATATCGATGAGTTACAATTAGCATTAAATCTAAATCCTGAGAATTTTGTTGAGTGCTTTCAACTGCCTAACGCAAATTAAGATGCTATGAATAACCATACTCATAATAATAACGACAATATGGATGATAACCAATGTTAAAGTGTTTTATTCTAGTTTATCATGGGTATAATTTTGTTTAACTAGGAACTGAAAAATTAAACAAATAAATACACGCAATCGTAATCATAAAAGAAATGAATCAGTATAGTTAATGAATTTTAATGTGGTCGCTTAATCTTTTACAGCTTGTGAGAGAGGGAGAGAGAGCAAAATATAATCAAAAGCCGCAAACTATGGATAAATCCGTCTTATTTCATTGGCTATAAGCTTTAATTAAAAATCGATGTGTAGAATATGAAAATAATCAGTAGAATATTAAGTGATCCAATTGAATTTATTTTTAGTGAAGGACAAACGATTGAAATACCAAAGAGATAAAAAGACATTCGATTTAAATTAAGCTAGTGTAATCTTTTTCTAATTACCCAAGAAAAATGCACGTTCTTAAATAGGTGACAACTGCGAAAACAAACCTCGAAAGTTTACAGAGGATACATTCGATTTTTGAATCGAATTATAACATTTCCCAAGGACAAATTAATGATTTTAGATATTTGGTTAGCGTAATATTGGTATTTGATGACAACCAGAAATTAAGTGAATTACCACCAATGTCCCTGCTTAGGAAAAGTACTAGAGTAGGCTATACTACGACAGATGATAAACAACTATAAACAAACAAGATTCGAGCTTCAGCCTATTGGTTGAATGCTTCAACAATTAGGCGACAGCTTTGTACAAGTTCTAAATTAGATTTAACTTTGAACGTGTTCAGTCGAAGAAAACTGAGTTTACACTTCGTGAAATACGCTAAAGACTGACAACCACATCACTCAATCAGTCAGTCACAACGTAGAACTTCGTACGTACGTACATCAGTTCGAGTTGCCATACCACATTAACATAGAGATGCAGTTGTCGATTCAAATCCTATATTGGTAGAAGTAGTAAGAGTATGAACAGTAATCCAAAAGATTAGGGTTTGAATATATTATTCAAGGAGTATAATCCAGTGAAATAAATTTGCAAAGAGAAAAAAGAAAGGGATATGAAGAATTTAGAAGATTAGAATTCGGGAGAACACAAAGAGCGGATGTACCTGCGCCGTTGCAAATGATTTTAACCTGTCATCCAAAGTCTTTAACCATCAGTTGGTATCATCTCGCGGTTCCCAACCATGAAGTCTACACCTACCAACATGGCTCACTTCACTTGTCAGTGACTTCATGGATTCGTGTCACGTTTAGGTCTGGCCACCCCTAGTTTTCTTCCAACCTACTCCTACACCATAACACATCGCATGTCGGGGCAGTTGGTGGTTGGGCATATGTAAGAAATGTCCCAGCCATCTCAATCGCTAAAGTTTCACTACTACATCAATCGATTAGTCATCCTTACCTAGTTCCCGTTACCTAACAATGGCATTACATACTCGGTGGTCCCAGGATATATGAGCAATGCTTCGAAGACACCTATGATCGAAAACTAGTAGCCTACGAATATCATCTACTCTTGTCGGCCATGTTTCACTGCCATAAAGTAGGACGGAGCGAACTGCCGCACAGTAAACCCGTCCTTTGGTTGCTAGACGGATATCTCGCCTACGCCATAAATGACGCAAGTTGGCGAAAGCTAGACGAGCCTTCTGTATCCGTGCTGAGATTTCGTCACACACCAGACCACAAGGGCTGATGAGACTCCCAAGATAAGTGAAGCGGTCAACACGCTCAACTACTTCACTCCCTATCATTAGTTCAGGTGTCCATGCAACCCAATCCTGAAGTAACATTTTGCACTTCGAGGGAGAGAATCGCATCCCGAACATGCCTGCATTGTCGCTTGTAGTGGTCAGAAGACTCTGCATTTTGTTAGCGTCTTCAAAAAATAGAACTGTGTCATCGGCGCATTCTAAGTCAACAAGTGAGTCTCCCGGAAAAAGTCCAACTCCTGGAGATTGAGATAATGAAAGTGTAATCTCTAAAAGCATGTCAACGACAAAGTTAAACAAGAATGGAGACAGTAGACAGCCCTGACGAACACCACTTGAGGTAATCAATTCTGATGACAGTTCGCCATAAGCTATAACTCGATCAGTTGTGTTCGAGTAGAGAGTCTTTATAAGGTTAATGTACTTCTTTGGTACTCCTTTCAGTGATAAACACTGCTAGAGAACCTCACGATCAACGGAGTAGAATGCCGCCTTAAGGTCGAGAAATACTACAATTGTGAAACGTCTGAATGTATGTCTATGTTCTAGGACCTGACGTAGAGTGAATATCTGGTCTAAACAATCACATCCAGGTCGAAAACCAGCCTACTTTTCTCTAGTCTGCTCTTCACAAGTTTTGGTTAGGCGTCAAAGTAATATTGAAGCTAATATTTTAGACACTATATTAGTCAAACTGATCCTTCTGTGATTGTCACAAGAGGACTTTTGTACTTTCTTATAGACTGGCACAATCAGTCATTAGGACCAGTTATATATTATATGATTATAAAAATTGGGCTACAATGGATGGAGAGGCGAAATGCATAAATGTACTATGTGTAATAGTCTAAACTTCTTAATTCCCAAAAGTACTGTTCTCGTTACAAAATCCTCACTTTCAATTTTGTGTAAACTAAAAAAAACCATAATATTTATCTATAAAATATGACCTTTGAAGAAACAAACAATGGTATCCTGCATATTATCGTTGCTCAACTGATGTGAAAAACGACAAAAACAATATGCGTATAAGACGAGTTGATTTAAATATCACTATGTATATATATGTACTTCCCACATGAATATTGATAACTTGTGATATGATCACTAGCTAACAAGAAATTGTTATACTGGTATACAGTTTTGTCGTAAATATTTTTACATTACTATAAATATGCATATATTACCTACATATATTGAGTAACGCAGAACATAATTTGATAGAAAGTAGAATGAAAAATCATACCATAACACACAAAAAAAGTTTCAGATTATTGAATACATCATTTATTGAAAATAATTAATTACAATATTATGCATAAATCATGGATACTGGTGTTAGCATATTAAGTTTTAATTAATAAATACAGTTAAAATAATAACTTTGTAACTATTGAAAAGAATGTTAAATGTGATGTCACTAAGTACTAAATATTTACTTTATGGGGTGATGAAAAATTGCAACTACTTATTACGTGTTAAAAGGATGCATTTTAATAGAAATAATTGTTTCTGTAACTAACATAAAGAATTTGAAACTTTAAAATAAACCTATTACGTAATCATACATAGTTACTGGGTTATGTATGATCAGTAAATTAAATAAGACCCGAAAAAATAGTATTCGGATTTATACATCAAAATGAACTGAGGTTCTGAGTTTTCAACGCGTAAGATGATTCCTTAGGGATGGTTCAATTTGAATTTGGTCATCATTATAAATTGAACTACGTTACCAAACCAGTGAAAATCATAGCGCAGAGAATAATTCTTCTGTCCTAATTTGGAACTCCGCAGCAATCCTTACTCTTAACCTCAGAAAGGAAAAAGTGCAGGGACTACAGGTCTTGCTGGGAGCACAGGGCCTTTAAACTATTCAGTCGACTTGAAACGTAACTTCAGTATCATTTAACCTAATCAGTGTTTTCTGTCTTAATCTTGATATACATGAAATCCATGGCTCAAGGCTCTTTACTGGAACATAGACGATTCTCAAGGTTAGTCATTAGTTAACATTTTAATATTAATGTAAGGGGTAGTGGATATTACTCAGTTTGAAGTTAGTTTCGATTTATAGAAGGGTAATAGTTGTGCACCCTCGACGAGATTAAAGTTAAAGAATGAAATGACTAAGTGATACACATTGGTTTTCAACTATTTTCCGAAGCTATTGTCAGTTCGTAATGGAAAGTGATTGATTTAAAGCTTTGAGCCAAACCTCCTCTTACAGCACGCATATACCGATCAGGAGGAAGCAAATTCACCATAAAATAATATAAAATTAATGCTTTACACTTCTCAAACGGAACTACTTTTATGTTTACGAATCAATAAGACGTATAGAAACCTGATTCCAAAACTCAATCTTTATTCAAAAACCTTTGGATAGTACATCATGTGAACTGATCACACGCCCAGTAACTAACAATCAATCTTGTTGGATGAAAGAATAGAAAAAGGAATATACTTAATAATCCATAGCAAATTTTTCATTCTTTTTTTATCGTTATGAAGTTAGATACTTTCGAAGAATATAAAAAACCAGACAATTTATTCTCGTTAGAGTTTATTACTCGGTCATATTGCATCATATAGGATTATAAATTGACCAGTGTTTTATTTATCATTTCGACATGTAAACCAGAATCCATAAAAATGAATATGACAAACGGGATAATCGTATTAAGCAGGAAATAAATTAACAACAAAAGTATCTACTCAAATTCAATAAATAGTGATAACACAAAATTTCGTTGAAATAAATTTATCAGCAACGTGAATAAACCCATAGATTTGCACACACATGAAAACCAACAAATGTAGAAAAAAAGCATTCAAGTTTACTAGTATAAATGAAATTACGATGAAGTAGAAAAATAATTATATACCTGAAGTAAGACGAACAGATGATCCCATCGAACTCATAGAATGTTGTAATTCCAAAGTGAACGCTTCAGCATTAATATCCGTTGTAGTAGGTAATACAGCAATTGTACGTAGATTAGTCATAACACCACTATTCAATGGACTATATAAAACATCCAATTTAGAATTCCCACCAGTTGTATAACCTAATCCACCGGTAACTAAAGAATTTGTACTGGTCATATGTAGAAGTGGCATACCCAATTGGCTGGCCGTACTAGAACTAGTTGTTAAATTACCCAATAATTTATCCGATAATAATTGAATAATACGAGTTAAAACTTGTGGAAATTTATTCTTAAGATGATGGAGTAAATGTGAGGGGATTTGAGCCAATTCTGAATCTCTATTTTATGAAATTAAAAATAAAAGAAAATTATTCATAGACAGATCAATAAACATCAAACTTTGTTTCTAAAATGTTTTTACCACTACCAATCGATGTGATGTTCAGTAATGTATAAACTATGTTTTTTAAACAAAGAAATTAAGATTTTGATGAAGTTTCATTCTCTAACTTGGATAATTTAATCACGAAACTTTCATTGTTCTTATGCAGAACACTATCATCACTATAAGAACTTTCGTCTAAATTAGAGCGAATAGTTTCACAGTATTTGGGCGCCGAGTTGATGTGAGACATTAAATTCTTCCTATTTAATGTCTTACTATCATCACTAGAGCTACAAAACTTTTTCACCATATCGAAAAAATTAGAAATACTCTTTTCATATCGTATTTTCACAAAATTGCTTAAGACTCCTTATTGACAACTATAAAGAAACACAATCTAGATGTATATCATGGGAAAAGTGAATTTAAACAATAAATATACTTCATTTTTATTTTATTGATTGATTTGACAGACTAATTGTTTTGTAAGCAAAGATGGATAGTGGCTAGCAGTGGAATCCAGGAAGCGCGTTTCGTCCTATTCAGGACTCGTCAGCTGGATGTACCTGCACCTCAGAGTTGGTGTTCACTCTGGGACCCGAACCCAGTACCGTTCGCTTCAAACGCCATCGCGTGATCCACTCAGCTACTGAGTTACTATCCATCTTTACTTACAATGCTTGTGAATTAAAGCTATATCGAGGCAATACGCACAGTATGCACATATGCCAATTAGAGACTGACCAGTTGCAGTCCTAAACATCAATGGGAAGATTCAAACAAATAATACTAATTGAATTTAGACTAATTGTTTGTTTACTCCTACAAGGATTAATATGCATAAATTCTAATTATTCTAGGTAAGGAAGAATATAAATAATAATTAGTTCAGTCTCTCAATAATAAAGTAAATAAATTTCATTAGTCAATATTCATAATAATTTGTGATAACAAAATGAAATTACAATGTATTGAATAAATACCATTTGTTATAACACGTGTATCATTGTTAAATAATCATCTGAATGTTATCCTTCCATATTACACCAAAATTATCAGTACTTTATAGAACTTTACCTGATGTTCATTATTAAAGATTATTTAAAAACGATTAATACAGAATTTCTATTGTATATTCATTTTGTATTGTTTGTTAAAATCTTACCATTGATGTTTATGACTGCAATTGATCAGTCTCTTATTGACATATGTGCAATATCGAGGCAATCCGCAAAGAATGCATGTATGGCAATAAGAGACTGATCAACTGAAGTCATAAACATCAATGAGAAGATTTAAACAAACAATACTAAATGAATTTAAACTTCATCCCATTGCACAAGCTAGTGGCTATCAGGACTCAGTAGCTAAGTGGATAATGTGATGACGTTTGAAGCGAATGGTACTGGGTTCGAGTCCCAGAGTGGACATCAACTCTAGGATGCAGTCACGTCCAGCTGACGAGTCCCAAATAGGATGAAACGCGCATCCTGGCCTCCCTGCTAACTACCATCCATCTTTGCCTATACTTCTACTGCATGTTATATTAATTGGTTAATCATTGATTATCTATGAACAATCTTGGATGAATATGTATTCGTCAAGTTGAAGGAACTTAAATCAGCACAGAAACAAGTAGAGAAAATCAGCAAAACGAGAAGCATAAAATGAGAAACAACATTAGGCAAAAATATCAATCTAAGCATGAAAAATACAGGTGAAAGGAAACAAATGAGATAGATTAATGAAAAGTATGGAATAACAGTAAACTCAAAATTACGAGAAACATACTGAGGGCAACTGAAATAATTCTACCGATTTAAGACCATGTAGTCCAATACACCGAAATATAGTTTACGGCAATTGTGAGGATTTTAACCATCAGGTCTACACCTACAGATATGGTTTAGAGTAACAATCAATGACATAATTTTGTTCCTTGAAGATGCTATCAAACTGTAATCTTCTAGACCTTTTGAGAAACGTTGCAAGTGTATGAGATATGTTTTAACTGAATCATTAAAACGCAGATATTCTTAGTTAAGCGGATCCAGAAACAGAATATTGTTTTTTCAACACAATATAACAAGAATGAAATCTGTATTGAATAAGCAACTGACTAACATTCATAAGTATTTATTTTAAGAGGAAACAAAAAATAAAACTATACATCGATTATGAATTATGATTATAAATGTTTTCATTAGTCAAGAAAAGGTAGTTCATTATCCCTCGGCAGAAAAGGCATTAAGAAGTTAGTTACTTCAAGTGAACAGATCAAAGCAATTCTCATACCTGATCGCCATAACTGTAGATATTCGTGGTTGCTGACTAATGACTTCAAGAAAACCAACGAGATCACCACGCCCCAATTCACTGACTATACGATGACCTCCATCAGGCATATTATCGACTTGTCTTAATCGACCACTTAAAACTACATAAACGTGATTTGAGACGTCTCCTTTCCTAAAAAAGGTGACAATAACATTATATGCAATGGGATACACTCTGAATAAAATTATAAGGATAACAAGGGGTGAAACAATTCACTAAGGGTAAATTATACACTGCCTTAAAATACGTCGAAATTTTCTACCTTCATTAGTGAACACATTTTTACTGCAAGGCTATGAAATTGAAGGTTTTTTACAATTGTAAGAGACTTAGTCCACAACAGATCACAAATGAAGTCACCGTTTACCCGAAATAAACAGGAAAATGCACAAGACACAGATTTTTCAGGAACTAAAAGATAAAGCATTCGCTTTTTCAAAACAATTTTAGGCAGATTTTATCAGTACACATGAAATGAAAACACTGAACAACAATTGAATTCGCAATTCTATGGAGAAATACTAATAAATAAATGACTTTAACCTTACTGTGTTGAATATCTCCAACCATGAAGTCACACCATAATATATAGATGTTCTGGGGGTAAAATTCACTTCATAAAGCTCAAGTATACAAATCATAAGGAAATGCCGAATAAGGCCTAGTCAAGATAAAAAGGTTCTCTAATTTAATCAGATATCTAATTTCATAGGATCTAATAATCAGTACCTAAGCAGCAATGAGGTAAATCTTAGTGACCACAAAGACACACCAATATTAAGTTAAATACCACATCGCCATATAGAACTCTAAGTCTCGGAAACAATATGCACGAATAACAAGTAACACTAAAGTATGACTCAGTAGTTAGTGTGTTTGAGAAGTCTACCAGTTTAAGAGGGGGAAGAGTAGTCACTAAGATTTAGAAAAATGAACATGTATAGGAGACGCATTGTTTCCAAATAATTCGACCTGAATGAGTCTTAAAGGAATGGTCATTTGAATCAAGGCTTATAATTTATAAACCATATGCGTTCAGCTGGATTCGGCACTACGAAGCTCGCACTAATAATGATTGACTCTCAAGGACATTCAACAAATACAGACGTGTTTTTTCCCACATCATTGTCATAATGAGTGGCAATGAAATATCTATTTCCTCTCGTCTTTCCAGTTATTGGGGGTTGGGTCAAGAATTATAAGAAATAAGTTCTATATTCGGCCGGGTTTTCTCCGCGTTTTCTGTGCACTAGTCTGATGTTGTCCCGAATCACGCACTCTAAGACTCATAACGGGATAAGGTTACCTTGACATGACTGTAAACATTAGATTGTCTTAGAAGAATTATCTGATAAATACTCCCTAAATAAAACCATTAAGGATGAATGGAAACATGCGATCGAAATCTTGACCTGGAAAAGTCAGAGATGTACCAATTGAAGTACTTTGGTGTTCAATATAAAATGAATCCTAATCCTGTCGATCAACAAAGCTAAATAGAAATTTAAAGCAATTAGTCCCTTTGATAAATTTCGATAATGTAATACATAGTTCTGATAATCTTTGTTTTCTTATTACATTATCGAAAGCTAAATAGGATAATACCTTATCAATTTTTCTGGATTGAGAAAAGAGGTCAAATATATTAGCGATGCAGCTAAATGTAATTCCAGTAAACGTTGACAATAAGGTATGTAAATAAATAAAATGGATAATTTTATGAACTGTAAATAGCCTTAAACACCATTCTCGTCTTGAATTAATATAATTTGGACTATTCATACTACATTCCTGACCAGTTAATGGAAGAGATGAACGGTTTGATTTTGTGACCTCAGTAACTTTACAATCATTGTATCAGTAAACTGAATGATAGATAACGAAATATATTTCAACTACTATAAAAAAAGATAATAGCTTAGACTTGTTTATGATATGCGATATGAGGTTATATCACTAGTGTCATATAGCCGTTACAAAATGTGATCAAATTTCATAATGCATTCATAACTAGGACATCACAATGAATGCTTCAGATTTTAGAGTTCATCAAATATTTTCATAGCTGCAAGCGTGAGTCAATTGAAGCTAGACCACCAAGGAAAACCTGGAAGCACTGGACGGCCGTTTCATCCTATTATGGGACTCCTCAACAGTGCGCATCCACGACCTCGCCTCGCGAGATTCGAATCCAGGACCTACCAGTCTCGCGCCAGAGCACTTAACCAATAGACCACTAAGCCGGCATCCGATGGTGTTTATGTCTAACTTCAACCAATTCACGAAGTTGAGCGACCGTTCACCAATTGTCTTCGGTGAGTTCCTATCTAACAACAGACGTCGTTTGAACTCCATTGGCTACTGCTTCTCACTAGAACTCCAGGATTGACCTCTCGGAGTCAGTCACTAGTGAGCATATGATTATTATTATCAGAAAATACTAAATCTCTACAAAACCCCTTCTGATAATAACATGAAATATTTATTTATTTATTTATTTGAACAGATAAATATTCATACAAAGAGGTACCAAATACATATGCGCTACACAATAACAATGAGAACGTGAAGAATTAAAGAATTTAAGGTGAGTATAAGAAAAAGGAGAACAACAACGAACAGAAGTTAGTGTATGAGAGGGAAATGATAATAATGGAAGAAGCAGTTCAGTTAGCAAAGGTATAGCTAAAAAATTCTTCCAGTTAAAGAAGTTACGTTCATTTTTTTGTGAAGAAAATAAAACAAATTTACAGCAGGATCGCCACTGGCTTTTGTTCTGAACCATGTCTGAATTCGGTGTTTATCTTGCTGTGCTAATGAGGTATGGCAACTTGGACCGATGCATATATGTGCCTGGTCCTACGTTGTAGCTGACTGACTGACTGACATATCTGATAACATCTCAAGCCACTGTGTTGCATCATCTCTAGGATCCCAACCAGGGAGTCGTGAACGATCAACAGAAGCCAGTCCTGTACAGCTTTCTTTCATAACACGACACCATGTCATACAATGACCACCTCTCCGCTTTTTCCATCCAGTTGCAGCGAAGGTAAATAATGCACGACGTGGAATTCTCTGGGATGATATTCGAAGAACATGTCCAAACCACCAAAGTCTATGTTTCGAGATAGTGACACTAAATGAATTATCGTCGCTGTACCCGAACACACGATGCTGAGCCTTTGCATTACTAACACGGTGTTGCCACTGGATGTCAGCAATCCTTCGGAGACAACGATGATCAAACACAGTCTTCTAAAATCCTCAACTCGGAGAAGACGGGTTTCACAAGACTAGAGCGAAACTGCTCTCACCGACCTTTCACAGCCAGACTAACATCACGAAGGCGCCAAAGATGGCCCAGATTAGCATAAGCCGCTCTGGCTTTTACTATACGTGAATCGATCTCATCATTCACGTCACCATCAGTACTTGCGCAGCTACCCAGATACACGAAGTTCTCGACCACTTCTATCTGCTCACTACCCAGGGTGAGTGTAAAGTCAGGGTTCTTTCAGTCTTGTAAAATTACTTTGCACTTCGAAGGTGCAAAACATATACCATACCTACGGGCACTGATTGCCGACTGATTAAGTGCACATTGCATGGCTTGGGTATCACCGCACAGTAAGACAATATCATCCCCATACTCAAGGTCGGAAAGTTTTTCTCCAGGCAACAGATCCACACCACCGTTACCTAAATCCATTATTCACATACTGTGATTCAAAGCGAGTGGAACCTCCCGAGACTCAACGACCACAGCAAAATAAAACACAGTCAGTCAGTCAGTCACAACGTAGAACTTCGTACGTACGTACATCAGTTCGAGTTGCCATACCACATTAACACAGAGATGCAGTTGTCGATTCAAATCCCATAGTGGTAGAAGTAGTAGGAGTATAATCAGAAATCCAAAAGATTAGGGTTTGAAGAAATTATTGAAGGAGTATAGTACAGTGAAATAAATTTGGAAAGAGAAAAAGATAAAGACATGAGGAATTCAGAAGATTAGAATTTGGTAGAACGCAAAGAGTGGATGCACCTTCGCCATTGCAAACGATTTTAAGCCATGTCATTCAAGGTCTCTAACCATCGGTTGCTGTCATCTCGCGAATCCCAACCAGGTAGTCTACACCTACCAACATGGCCCAGTCCACTTGTCAGTGACTTCATTGATTTGTGCCACGTTTTGGTCTGGTCACCCCTAGCTTTCTTCCAACCTACTCCTACACCATGAAACATTGCACATCGGGGCAGTCGGTGGTCGGGCATACGTAACACATGTCCCAGCAAAATAAAACACAACTGTTTGAGATATGAGTACATCTACATAGCTTCGTCACAAATAAAGGAACACTATTTGAGAAAAGATACATAAAAGCAGAATAATAATGACTTCGTAGAACGTATACATCAGTTTGTTTGATCGATAACAATATAACTACATATTACTTGCTTGTTTGTATTCTCTTCCAATACGCAGTATTTTCAATCGATCAAATGAAAAAAGAATCATAAAACATAATTCAATAGAATAAATTGTGTAACAGTTCGGATGCATTTACCGGATAAAATAATAATTCTAAACGCTTGAGACCTGTGAGTGTATCGGTTTACGAAATCGGTGTGAAAAATGTGCGAACTTTCGCTATCAATCATACAATCAGATGTACAATAATAACAAAAAAACAACGATAAATAGAGATACTAAACACAAAAACATATTTCAGTTATAAAATGATTGAATGCTACTTACTTATATAAAGCCTTTCCTGATTTAACAGACAACCATTCCATAGCAAAATCAAGTTGATGAAATAACGGTGATAAATGAGAAGAAATAATATGAGTAACACTGAACAAAGCCTTAGGATATTGACGAACTACAGAGTAAAATGTCTCACGGGATAAAACAGCTACAATAGTTTTTGTAGTAGCTTGTATGCCATAAATATTTGGTTCACCGGTTATCAGTCCCAAAAGTCCAACCGCCTTTCCCGGTCCACATTTAAACATTGTAATGACCTGAGTGTAAATATTCCAAGTAACAACTCAATTGATAACTTTAAAACACGTGAAGATTAACAACTTATATTTTTTTAAATGGTACATAGTTAAAACAAAGTAAAATGTATATATCTCTTAAAGAACTAAGGGAATAATAAAGATATCTGACGTTATAAATGGAATTGTTTTCAGTTGGATTTTAACTAGAAAGTTTTCTCACTAGACGTGGAACTCCGATTTATATCTTAGATGTTTGGATTCATAGTGGGCGATCCTTGATATTACTCTAAATACACCCCTACTCTGCAATAATACACGTTTTATTACAAGCGTAACTGTCAGAGATAGCATTAGTTAATTAAATAGTTCGTTTATTCCAAATGCATTGTAGATGAATTATGAATTCAAACATACCTAATTTGTTCGTTACTATATATAGTGAATGCGTTAGTTGTACAGCATCAAAGTGGTTCAGCCTAGTCTGCCACAATAAATGTAAGTATATACTTGAGTTTCTTGAACCATATGAATGTGGTGATATGAAATTAACCAAGTTATTTGTGATTCAATCATATGAAAAAACTTCGCACTTGAGAACTGAACACGTCTCAATGAGATATTAGGAGCTTTACGTAGGTTAATCAAATATTACATTCCTATTGTTAGCACTCGTTAAAGCAAACATCAATAGATTATCTCAATTTAGTACTAAAAAACGATTCTGTCTAGTTAAAAAAAGGATTTCACAAGACCACTTCTTCAAGTATATATTTTTCTGTAATCGGCTTTAAGTTGTGTTGTTTATTTGGTGATTAATATGATATTACTTGGCCAAATAGACAAAAGTGAAATAACGTTTGGACTACGGTTACAAGTATTTGAATACAATTAATTCAAAACTGTATAACTGGAAATAAAAATAATCGAAAGTGCTTTTCACTTTTTTAGAAATTAACGCATTCACGCATTTATACAAATTAATCCACAAAAAAACACAAAGACAGCCACCGTCAAGTAGCGAAAATGAGTTCAATGTTGTATAAACCGTTCATAAAATGGTAAGTAAAAGAGCGGATGAAAATAATAAAATCATAATACCTAGTAGAACAATAAGACTCCTAAAGTTTGGAATTATAATTCCTATTTAGGAAAGTACTTGCAAGGTTTACATATCATGAGAACTTGTCAATAATTTAGTTACAGAGAATAAATCTGTCAGATACAGATTTAATTATTAGGCGTTGATCGATGTTGGTCGGAGAAAATGACCATTCGCCATAATATAAACACATAACGACTTGAACCTCTAACCATTATACTTGGGAAGCTGGGTAGGGTTATTTCCCTTAAGTACGACTCAAAGCTGGGTTTGGAAACTTGTACTTGAATAAGAAGTTCTATCGACGGAAAGAAAGAAAAATCATGTAAGGAGGAATGATGACTCAATAAAAGGATATCTTAACATGTGATTTATATGAAGAACAAAACAACAGGAATGCTGATACATTGTTTGGAGCGAAATATATGTATCGTACTCTGATTAGTTGAACCGATTATTTCTAAAGACATCTATACATAGCTATGGAGTCTAAAATACAGTACATTTTCAGCTCCGTGATTTCTTGGCGATTCAAATATTATTTTATCACCAATCAAGGCAGTAGTAATACGCTTGGATTTTTGGCATAAAATTTTTTTCCTAAACAACAACCATACTTATTCCAAACTGAAAACTACATTTCACTACCATACCATAAAGAATCATTTATTTCACACTTAATATACTTTGATGGTTTTATCATTCATTAAATGGGTTTGTATTTAATGATGCTAGTTGGATGGAAAAATATGTTAAATTACATTTAAATTCATGTGAATTCATTATATTTTGTTGTTTCTCGTCACGAAATATAATGAATTCATATTATTCTGCATCAATATTTGTCCTGGCTTTATTTAAATTCATAAAGGAAACTAATTGCATGAAACGTTATGAGATGCAGTCCCATGGTAGTCGGTGACAAATAATAGGTTCATATGCCATTTGTTCCCTCAGGATTCTGGAGCCCATGCGCACCAATGGTTTGGAATAAGGGTTTTCCAACTACCCTAGGTGGATCCTCCATATCCACTAACCCAGCTCAAACATCGGAAATTCGCTTTTCAACTTGTCAATTTCGTTAAAAACACCCCACCGCAAGAAGGTAGTGAGTAGGACTTCCCTGGCAGTGGCTTTATAGGCGTGGCCAGGTGAGAGCATTTTGAGACGGAGGACGGACTTCCCACCCTCGGCCGTACCAGAGCATTTGTGGGATAGATGTAGTATAGCCACTAATCTAGGCAATTAGACACTGCATACACTCCTTGAAAATGTCAGGTAGATTAAGGTAGTTGGCCGGAAACCCTCGCCACATGGTAACTTGATCGACAGAGTTCGATGAGCACTAAAAGGACCAAACAAACGCAACATTGCTCAATGCTCAATGATTGATCAATTGTTAGAGTGTGAAAAGTAAAATATGAAACTTCGTTAGTTATATCCTTTATTCCACTAGCTTGTCTACTTCTAATGAGTATTTAGTAGAGTTATTATACGACACATTTTTTACATAGTTGAATTTGAAAGTGGTCTTTTGATCCATTAATTGTTGTTCTATCGTTTACCAACTGAAGAATAGTCAACAATAAGTGACTTATACATTGCTTTGTAACAAAACCTAATTATATACCTAATGTAAATTATAAACTGTAGTGGGTTGTACGATCTAGTATACCACTTGGACAAACATGTGAATTATGAATCTGAATAATGAAAGTACTTGTGATCGTTTATTTAGCCTCCTGTGGTTTCAACTGTAAGTTTGAGAAGGAAGAAATTCTAGTGGCCTGCTAATTACATGCAAAAATAGGTAATTAAGTTAGTAAATTAAATGTTGGAGATTTCCAATCTACTGAATATTTTATGATAAGAAATAATTGTAAAAATACCAGTTAAATAATAAACCTACAGATTATTATTGATCCATTACATGGGGTTAACAACAACTTGTTAACACCAAGTGAAATAAGCATCAAACATTAATTGAGAACTAATGAAACAGAGATAGCCCCCAAATGCCCTGGTACGGCCAAGAGTGGGGAGAGTCCACCCTCATATGCCCACGCGTATATAGTCTCTGCCAGGGAAGTCCTACTCACTGCATTCTCGTGGTGGGGATATTGTTTATGAAACTGAGAGAACGAAAAGCGAATGCCTGGCGCTTTAACCGGGTTGGTGGACACGGTAAGTTTACCTAGGGGAGTTGGAAAACCCTGATTCCAAACCAATGGTGTACATGGGTTCCAGTATCCTAATGGAACAAATGGCGTATGAATCAATCGTCGGTCACCGACTACCATGGGACTGCATCTCCTTACGATGCTTCACTGCCCTGTGGATCAGATCTATAAGTCAAAGGCTTCGGGTGTGGCCCCTTAAGAAAACCACCTGCTTCGGTTTGGGCACCCGGGCAGTATTACAGCCCTCACACAAATCAAAAAAGATATGTGTGGCGTATATTTATCTGGTGCTTTTGTACCAATATTTATGCGCTCCAATAAATAAATAAACTTTTAAAACAAAAGCACACAAAGAGCAAACCAGTAACCAAGTATAAGTATATGATCGTACTCGGTTCCCAGCAACACCTATATGTCTGAAGGCGAGAAATATTAATCTAGTTTATCAGACCGTTATTCCATTGAAATATCAGTACCCTATTCACATAGGTAATAAGGATATACCAAAAAACCGATAAAGTATAGATAATAAGTGTAAGTGAAATTTACTGTCGAAATGACACATAAGAAAAAAAATATTAAAGATTAAATAAGTCTAAATCTATAAAAGCAAACATTATTTCAAAACAATCATTACATCATTATTAGGTCCATCATTAGTTGATTGGAAAGCTCTCAATTCTCCAAATATTACATAGTACATTTCTAATTGCATTTCACATTCTCTTGAAAGTATAAAATCAGACGAAACAGTAGTAAGTGAAACGTGTCCATGCAGGATACTGGTATCGGTTAAATTTAATAAATTAGATAAATCTTTTTCAGCAAATTTTATCATTTCTTTTAATTCACTTTTGGTAAAACTAACATCTTTAACAAAATCAGAAGGTTCCTCTTTGTTATTTTCATTACCAATGTCTTTTATCACATCATTTACATCATCACAGTTTAATTGAAGTTTACAGGATGTATCTGCAAGAGAACGTGCCCGACGTAAATTAGTGGAACGATGTTTACAATTTGGACTAGGTGGTTGGGAAGGTGAATACATGGGAGATGATGTCCTTTTCCGACTGTAGAATATAGGACTTTCACCTAATTCAAGTGCACCAGATTGAGACATTGAATCTAAATTCAAATCATCATTATAGGTGAAAACCTGTTCTAATTCTGATTCAGAATTCTTAGACTTTTGGTCATCTGTGACATATGACATGGAAAATTTAACTTTTGAACACGTAAGATCCAAATCTGAAAAAAATCAAAAAACGTTTACAACAATGTATTCAAAGAAGAGGATAGTTTCAAAGTGGGCTAAGAGTTGAGACATATTCACCAAACCCATGAGATCGAAGACTGTTTCATAAAATCTACAAAACGACAACTGGATTTCAAAAATTTCTCATTGAACATTATCGTTTACTTATGATAGGTGTAATGTTGAGTTACAGAACATATAAAGGACTGATCGACTCTCAACTGTTAGAATATTTTATTATTATGAACAAGATGTAATAAAACGTTCCGGCTTTCATATGGCACAACAGAAATGGAAAAAAATTAGAAAAACACAGTTATCTATAAAACTAAATAATAATTGAATGTAATTATGTTCCATATTGTATTTTTCATAAACTGAACTACAAGGCATGACTTACAATGTCACATTTCAGAAACCAACAATAGATCTATTTGCAGCATAACCATTAACATCAATATTGTCCAGATATTTTTATAGCACCGTTATACGACTTTAAAAAATACTAACCATCAGTGTCCACAAATCCACTTTTGTTTTATCGTAAGTAATCGTGATAAATGTTGAAAACATAATAAAATAGTATAATCTACAGAGAATGTTGGGTTAGTGTGAATAACTTTGATTTATATCACTTGATATCTATGTACTTTCCTTATGTTTCACATATTTTCTTTACTATCTTGTTCAGCAGTTGATTTTTGTAGTAGGTTCTGACCTGTTTAAACTCATTAAATACTAGCTTTTCAAGAGCAATTACTACTCCAAAGCCATGTGCCATTTAACCTTACTGGCTTGAGAAGTTGTAGCCTGGTATAAATTAGGAAACCTTTTTAAAACTTATCTCTATCGGTGTGTCCTCCATCGAAAAGACCAGTATTCAAGACTGCAGAAAAGTACTATTTTTATGCGCCAACTTCAAAATTATGTGTTCCTTGTTTTGGCCAAAAGACTCTGTAACTTCGGTGCCTGATCTTGTCAACCTCTTTTTCGAAGTAACTGTTAAGGGACAAGCAATCGTAATTGAGAGAAATTCCTTCTAAAGCCACCAACGAATTACCAGGCTAAAACGTCTAAACATATCAGGATGTAGCTAAAGACTAAAGTGAGTTACCCTTGTCATATCCTGCAAATACAATCAAAAATGAGTCATATCAATAAATAAATAAATGATTAAATTAGTGGTCGACACATAGACAATGAGTAAATGTGGATGTGGAGGTGATTTCAAACTTGTTCACTGAATCATATTCATTTCGAAAAAGAAATGAAATTCAAATTAATCCAACCAACTATTATATAAGTTACGACAACCGTATGTGTACAGCTCTGAAAATGAGATTGCCGAGAAAATATCTCTTGGCTGACCTCTTGAGTTACTTAAAGTTCCAGTAAAAATAACTGATAAGTGTCATAAGCCACAAATCGATAATTAAGATTTGAAATTAAGAGAAATGGAGGTAATAAAAAAGTGAGTATTCAGCTTTGTGTGATAAAGAGAATTGAAATTCTGTAACTAGATTATGCTATGATATAATAATAATAATAATAATAATAATAATAATAATAATAGTAAAAATGCGTTGAATGCTTGCTTAGGTACGGTGATTAAAAACAGTCCTTTATGTACATTTAATTCCAACCCTAACCATATGAGAGGACAGATTGTCATTCAAGTCTTTTTTCATTAAATAAGTAAGAAATATGAAGACTACCACCAACTACGTACATATTTGTTGGTTGAACTATGAATCAAACATCCCAAGTGAAGGCTACAACGAAGTATTCAAATTGCAATAAATGACAGAATCAAACGTCTGGTGATTAGGAGTGAAATGCCTAAATCAGAGTTCCATGAATGATCTTCCAAGTGATTTGGTACCAAATAGTATCCACATCGACCGTTGCTGCTACCTTGACGTGGTGGTCGGGCTTGCCTATCATGATGAACCAGCTGGGCTATACTTGCTGGAACGATCACCCCTTAAGGTCTTACGATCCCACGCAGGTCGGTTGAAGCGCAGTACGACTAAAAGCAGCAAAACCAAGGTCCAAAGGTGAAGTCGTACTGCTGACTTTACAGAGGTTTGACGGCAGTAAGGTGTTTCCTTCAGACAACTAGGATAAAAGCAATGCAGCCTTCCCATAAGAAAGGGTGGGGTTAAAAAAGGTCTACCCTAAAAATGCACACCTGACCTTATCCCACAAATTTCAGTCTCCGGAGGCAAGGTCTCAATAAATACGGAGCTAACACAATAATTACCCATAAAAAGGTCGTGTGTGACCGGCCTTAAGTAGTTGTCGCTTGAGCACTGCAGCCACGCTCTCAGGTCGCTAAGACCAACTCTAACCCCATTCCCTTTTCAGGTACCCCTAGAAGAACCCTTCCATGGTGTGGGCAACCGGGAAGTAATAACCATCCTCATACCTCTAACAGCACTCAAGACCACTGACTGATTGACTTATTAAAATGATAACAAGTACACTGGTTAATGTAAAAGAAATCTTACCTGGATATTTTAAACTAATATTACCGAATTCGTTAAAGTCTTTCATTGATGATTTCTTTTCAAAAATATTGCATAGGAATTCGTAGGCTTCAGATGAACCAGAAATAGGAGAAAAGTCCTATGTAAACAATGAATTTGAATATATAGGTAACATGTTATCGAATAATTCCGGTTATAACCAAACGAAATACGTTCGAAAAAAATATTCAAGTAACAATGAAACCACCTGTTATATCCCCTGGTGAATCATGAATGGTAAATCTGAGGTCTATTATGGACAAAGGTAATATGCCTAATTCCTATTGTTTAGTTGTTAAATAACTGACCTAATTGTATTCGTGTTCCTCTTACCGTAACCTTATTTTGACCTTTGAACTATTATTATTGATTACTTTCCCCCTATCCATAGCCACATTGGCCAATTACTGTACAAATGTTATTTTTCTATTTTTTGGTATAATTGGGTCTGTTTGGTTAGTATATAAACCCAGTATGCTTGTGAATAATGATTCATATTTCCGAGGCTGTTATTTGTGTTCTGGACTTAACGGGCTGGGCTAGGCAGATAGGAAGGACCGAATAGCAATCAAGACTGCTCGTACGTATTTTCCGTATCTTTGCACGTTTCATATACAATAACGATTGTTATACGTTTATAATAATTGGCGACGGGGACAAAAGTGAAAAATGACGCTCCCTTCTGACCGCTTACAGTTGCTCTTTGACCGACATTTGGAGTTCATGGTCAAACTACGTACACAGTTTCTGGATCATCAATGCTTCACATATGCGTCAGAAGTGGATGTATTAATCTCTGAATTGCACACAGAGCTAGCAAATGATCGCAGCCCCCATGATTCCTCGACCAGCCGCAACTCAAACGAAACAGCAGTCTCTCAAGAGACGCCCGGTTGTCCAGCACTCTCCATTTCAGAAACGTGCCCGGTAGTGGATTCAAACACCACTATCCCTGAATTAGCAGGTCCTAACAATGACGCTTTCAGCTCTCATCAATACGATGCTATGTTAAAAGCCCATAAAATGGTCGCACCAATCGCCCACAGAGTACCAGAGATCATATCAAGCGGTTCAACGAGCGAATCTCATTCTGCAATAGAAATGTCTACAGAATCTAGTGATAAAGATTCCCAAGCTTGTCCAGAAATTTTGTTACATGCATCAAATCTGGAACCTAGCGCAGTTTTGGTGGACGCTGTTTATCATACTGATCCACAACCTGCCATTGATGTTTGCAATAAGTCTGATGACTACATTTCTGCAGAATCAAATTCTGACCTCACATCAAATGTCGATCCTCACCATCCAGTCAATCTTAACGGGTTCCCTATTGAATACCAGAAACATGTTATAACTAGAATCGCATTAATAGAAACTTGGGTATATGAGGATCCAACACTATTTCGTGGGGGAGGAGGAGCTCGAAAAAAAAAAATTAAAATCCGGATATCAACTCCGGATTTCTCAAAAAGGGGAGGTGTTATATCCCCTGGTGAATCATGAATGGTAAATCTGAGGTCTATTATGGACAAAGGTAATATGCCTAATTCCTATTGTTTAGTTGTTAAATAACTGACCTAATTGTATTCGTGTTCCTCTTACCGTAACCTTATTTTGACCTTTGAACTATTATTATTGATTACTTTCCCCCTATCCATAGCCACATTGGCCAATTACTGTACAAATGTTATTTTTCTATTTTTTGGTATAATTGGGTCTGTTTGGTTAGTATATAAACCCAGTATGCTTGTGAATAATGATTCATATTTCCGAGGCTGTTATTTGTGTTCTGGACTCAACTGGCTGGGCTAGGCAGTTAGGAAGGACCGAATAGCAATCAAGACTGCTCGTACGTATTTTCCGTATCATTGCACGTTTCATATACAATAACGATTGTTATACGTTTATAACACCACCAACTGCTATCCATATCCCCCTTCCAAATATTTCTTACTAGTGAATTAAAATAGATTTGCATAGATATGAGAAATCTATTACTGGTGATTAGTAGCAATGATAAACACTCAAGCCTAACACATGTTGGACACCTTACCCAATGAATTCTTTTTTGAAATATCGACACAACTTTTTGAACCAAGTGCCTGTCGCAAATGTGTTCTTTATTTGAGAGCCTAGAAACTGTGACATATTAACAGATAAGTCCCATTTAAACATTAAAAATTAAAAACACGAAGTTCAGCGAAGGGATCTATTTCCAACGAATTTATTATTAAGCTGTACAATCGTATATATATGAAAAACGTTTTTTGTTAGAATGCTAATTCCGTGAGGAAATATGAACATGAATAACCGAGATGACGCAATAGAAAGACTTTAATGCTAGATTACAAATTACAACGATAGAGGAAAGCATCAATTCATAAGTTTACTCACTTTTCTTAATAGTTCCCTTATAAATTAATAGATTATTACTAACAACTGCTACGTAATGATAAAGACTTGTTTGTATCCTTAGTGAGGATTTGTGGCCGATTACCACATTGATGGTGATGCAGATCACCAAAAAGAAAAGTAGTTTCTATGTGGGCGAAATCTACACCCAACAAATGAATTCAATATTCTCAAGGTTCAGATTATATTTTACTTTATTAGTGTACATACATTAATTACGGAAGTGTTACGTGGAGAATGAAAAACGTAGCTGTAATAGAAGCCATTAGCGTGAGAATAAATTATGGTCATTAGCATGAGATGTTTGTTTTTTTAAATTTGTTATGAAATTTGGCTCCCTTGTAAACCCAATGAAAAAACAGGGACTTTGTCAAGAAAACGCTTGTACTGGTCCCTACTGACTACCATACTTAGAGGCTTCTGAGGTCAGATGGTCAGGTCCTACTGCTTTGAATTTTTCGGCCTAATTCTGCGCTTACCAACCTCAATACTATCTATGGTTGTGAGTCAAGTTTAAGGAAGTGGAGAGCAGTTGTATGCTAGTTGAACTATCTCTTGAGGTATCTTAGTAAACGTTTCAGCCTACTAATCCCAGGAATAATAAATATTCCATCCTCTTTCACGATAGTTACACTTGGTATCGCCATTTTGAAACTGTTCTGATTAAATTAAATAACTCCTAGTTATTGCCTATCTCTAATATCCATTTTATCTATAACTACTGGTCGCAGATTACTTACAATCATCAACGGTATTCGTTCAGTAGACTGAATGCTTTATTAGGGTAGGTCATAAAGGAAACCATTCTTGATAGTCCCTTAACACACGCTTATTGCTTTAATCTTTAGGTCTATCATGATAAGCCCTTTTTAGTACAAGATGAAAATGCAGCTGGTTACTTTAGAAAAGCAACAAAATAACATTTATCCTCTTCAATGGTGACCAATAACAATATGGACTGTAAGAGTTCAAAATTTGAATGATGTAAAAAGTTATCAAATTTGATTCTTTGATGATTTAATTCAAATTTAGAAACTCTGAGATCTTAAGAGTGCAGAAGACCATGAGAGATGATAATGCAACAAAGAGTCCTCTAAGCACCTGGATTGATTATCCAAAAATGATAGTGGTCGGCTTATCATTCCTAATATTAGAGATAGTAAATAAACCAGACATTCATTTCATATTATGTTGCATTTGCAACGGTTTTGAAACCAAAATACACAAACAGATTTCTAGTATATGACCATAAGTACCTTCGAATACTATTAGCAAACAAAAGAACGACCGAATTAGCAGTGTGAATGCTAGATGTAGAGCATTAAGTAAAAGCAGTAAATCGGTTATCAAGGTCGTGTTCCTTAATCAACTAGGGCAGTTGTGATATCTAGTACACATAATCTGCTGCCACCTACATCAATGGATTGCGTTAGTCAAGAAGAGTGGATTGTAAAAAGCTAGGGGCTTTCAAGATACAATATGACATCAGTCTATATCAGTCGTTTTAGTAGAATGGTAGTTTATATATCAAATAACTCCCCTCTTCAGTCACCAGTTTACACGTTCAAAAAGCGATTCACCTATTGCAGTTTGTGTAGCCGGGTAACACAAATAATCGTGATACAGAACTTGTGGTTTGAAGCCAGATGCTGAGTCAGGAGACACGTATATCGTAGTTGAGGTTCACGCGACAGATGTTCTGTCTCGAAACCAACCACAAGAATATAGTTTTATTCTTTTTTCTTATCCTCTTAATCCTGAGTTTGTTTTCATTACATAAATTTTGTTCCATTGTTACATTTTCTTCAAATAGTCGACACCTTTTGTTTTGGTTCCCATTACTTCAGAAAAATACAATATGTGGAATGTTATCTGCTCATTAATAGCTTCACTAAAGTCACAGTCAAGAAATACCCTTCCACGGTGTGGGCAGCCGGGAAGTGATACTAGCCCTCATACCCTTAACTGCACACAAGACCAAGTTGGTCACTTTCAAATCCTTCCTACACCTAATATCTCTGTTATCTCCTCGACTAACCCTTCCCACGTCCTTTTATCACCTCGCACCGCTAGGGCAAACAATTCGAGTACACAGAACGTTATTCCTGGTCTCCTGAAACCACGCTCTAAACTACATATAGGAACTTTTAATGTCCGAACATTGTGCCAAATAGGACAACAGGCTTCCTTAGCTAGGACTCTAGAATCTTACACCATCGATGTGTGCTGCCTCTCCGAAACGCGCATACAAGATCCGAGTAGTGTCATTCATTTGACCTCACCTAATCAAAATAAAGTTTCATCTCGATACACGCTCCGTGTATCTGGAAGCCCTGATGCTGCTTCCCGTGGCCTCGCTGGAGTAGGTATAGCATTAAGTCCTAGGGCAGAACTAGCTCTCTTAGACTGGATCCCAGTAGACAGTCGTCTATGCGCTGTCCGACTAAACGGATCAGTAAGGACCCGGAAAGATAGGGAAACTCGTCGTTGCCTCTTCGTCGTCTCTGCCTACTCTCCCACTGACTGCAGCTCAGACGATATAAAAGATGAGTTCTACAGGAAACTTTCTGACCTTCTCCGAGAAGCTAGGCGTTCTGATGTAGTGATAGTAGCAGGTGACTTTAATGCTCAAGTAGGTAAACTAAGTGAAAGGGAAAGACACCTGGGTGGATCTTATGGTGTCATGGCGAAAAGAACAGATAATGGCGACCGTCTGTTGCAGCTGTGCTCAGATAACCGCCTATTTCTTGCAAATACTAACTTTAAGCATAAGGAAAAACATCTTTTGACATGGCGACCCCCGAATTCGTCCCAAAGTTGGACCCAACTAGATCACATCGCTATCAGCCACCGATGGAGGGGCTCGATAGAAGACTGTCGCTCATTCTGGGGCACATGCATAGATTCAGATCATGCTCTAGTGCGAGCACGTATCTGTCTGCGTCTTACTGGACGTAGGAAAGACACTGCAGGGAAGCCTGTAAGGGTCTTACTTAATGATAGGCAAGCTAAGAATATATTTCAGGAACAACTAGAAAAACAGTTAGGCAGCCATGTAAGTTGTGTCCACCCCGAGGCAGCGTGGAATGACATCCGAAAAGCTGTGGAAACAGCAGTGATATCCGCTAGTAAGGTAAACCATAACGTTAGGGAGAAACAATGGATCTCGGCAGCATCTACCGCACTGATAGATGCTCGTAAACTCATCCCACCTGGCTCTGAGCATAACGAAGAGCGGAGTCAACTTAAGCGCAGGTTTATAAGAAGCCTACGTAATGATCGTGAACAGTGGTGGGTAGCGAAAGCAAGAGAGATGGAAAAGGCAGCGGCAATAGGTAACAGTAGGCAGCTATTCAGACTCATTAAAGAAACCGGTATTAGGAACCCGAATATCAGTGAAACCATCTCAGATAAAGATGGGCATATTATTCATTCTCAATCCAGGAGGTTGGATCGATGGGCAGAACACTTTAGGGATCAGTTCAACTGGCCTTCAGCCACACTTCAATTGCCCACGATCCCCAGTCGTCCTGAATGGCAAATTGATGTAAGTCCTCCAACCCTCTGCGAGGTTGAAAAAGCTGTAGGAAATCTGAAGCGAGGGAGAGCAGCAGGCCCTGACAGGTTGACCCCTGAGATTTTTAAGGATGGTGGTCCAGTACTAGCAGTGAGATTGACTGAGGTCTTAGGTAGAATCTGGGAACTGGACGTAATTCCATCTGACTGGTCCCAATCACTGATTGTGCCAGTCTATAAGAAAGGACAAAAGTCCTCCTGTGACAATCACAGAGGGATCAGTTTGACTAATATAGTGTCTAAAATATTAACTTCAATAATACTAGGTCGCCTAACCAAAGCTCGTGAAGAGCAGACTAGAGAAAACCAGGCTGGTTTTCGACCTGGACGTGGTTGCATAGACCAGATATTCACCCTACGTCAGGTTCTAGAACATAGACATACATTCAGACGTCCCACAATAGTAGTATTTCTTGACCTTAAGGTGGCATTTGACTCCGTTGATCGTGAGGTTCTATGGCAATGTTTGTCACTGAAAGGAGTACCAAAGAAGTACATTAACCTCATAAAGGCTCTCTACTCGAGCACAACTGGTCGAGTTAGAGCCTATGGCGAACTGTCATCAGAACTGATTACCACAAGTGGCGTTCGTCAGGGCTGTCCACTCTCCCCATTCTTGTCTAACTTTGTCATTGACATACTTTTAGAGATAGCACTTTCATCAGCTAAACCTCCAGGAGTTGAACTTTTACCAGGAGGCTCACTTGTTGACTTAGAATACGCCGACGACATAGTTTTACTCGGTGAAGACGCTGACAACATGCAGAGTCTTCTGACCACTATAAGCAACTATGCAGGCATGTTCGGGATGCGATTCTCTACCTCGAAGTGCAAAATGTTACTTCAGGATTGGGTTGCATGGACACCTGAACTAATGATAGGGAGTGAAGTAGTTGAGCGTGTAGACCACTTCACTTATCTTGGGAGTCTCATCAGCCCTTGTGGTCTGGTATGTGACGAAATCTCAGCACGGATACAGAAGGCTCGTCTAGCTTTCGCCAACTTGCGTCATTTATGGCGTAGGCGAGATATCCGTCTAGCAACCAAAGGACGGGTTTACTGTGCAGCAGTTCGCTCCGTCCTACTTTATGGCAGTGAAACATGGCCAATAAGAGTTGAGGATATTCGTAGGCTACTAGTGTTCGATCATAGGTGTCTTCGAAGCATTGCTCGTATATCCTGGGACCACCGGGTAAGTAATGCAGTTGTTAGGAAACGAGTACTAGGTAGGGATGGCAAATCGATTGATGAAGTAGTGAAACTTCATCAGTTGAGATGGATGGGACATGTGTTACGTATGCCCGACCACCGACTGCCCCGACGTGCAATGTTTCATGGTGTAGGAGTAGGTTGGAAGAAAGCTAGGGGTGACCAGACCAAAACGTGGCACAAATCAATGAAGTCACTGACAAGTGGACTGGGCCATGTTGGTAGGTGTAGACTACCTGGTTGGGATTCGCGAGATGACAGCAACCGATGGTTAGAGACCTTGAATGACATGGCTCAAAATCGTTTGCAATGGCGAAGATGCATCCACTCTTTGCGTTCTACCAAATTCTAATCTTCTGAATTCCTCATGTCTTTATATTTTTCTCTTTCCAAATTTATTTCACTGTACTATACTCCTTCAATAATTTCTTCAAACCCTAATCTTTTGGATTTCTGATTATACTCCTACTACTTCTACCACTATGGGATTTGAATCGACAACTGCATCTCTGTGTTAATGTGGTATGGCAACTCGAACTGATGTACGTACGTACGAAGTTCTACGTTGTGACTGACTGACTGACTGACAGTTTCTAGACAACACTTATTTTCTTCTTATACGACATTTTAAAATTATTGCTAACACTTTTGTATCACGCTTAGAAAAATGAACAGTGTCTTTTCTTCCAAAACATGAATCTGTTTTAAACGCAAGTTATTCAAAACAGGTATGATCTATACAAGATATAAACCTGTTTACACATCTTTAACTGTTTCTTCGGAGTATTACTCTTCGTCCGACGATTAAAATCAAGCAGAGTTGGGAGAAATTGAACACTGAAGCCAGAAAGCAACAAAAATGTGTATCCAGTAATTATGACATAGTATATGCCTTAATGTATGTCTTAATAATTGATATTTTGAACGCAAAAAGCAACAGAAAACAATCAGAGTGAAAATCAATTAATTGAACCAGTTAGATACAAAATAGTTAAGCTTTATTAAATAGTAGATGGCCTATTGTAAAAAAAAGTAAAAGGAACTATAATACTAACCTTATTAATTAGTTCCGAACTCAAACCAAGATAAGTGTGTAGCGCGTTAAAGCTTAAACGCTGAAGTCTAACTGCAATCATTTGAATAATGCGAAAAAGAGGTGTTTGTGTTTTGCATATTTCCAAAAATGATCGGGCCGGTAGGCATAATACAGTAGTGGGCTCTAAAGCTACTGCTTCCATGAACTCAAAAGTTGAAGGATAACCAGTAAGTATACTCAGAACAGATAGCAAACTATCAACACTCCCACCTTTCCCAACTTCAGCGATGGTGCATTTGGATCCATCCTATACATATAGACCCGAGAGAGAATATTTAGTAAGCACATTAATGCTCAGAAAATATTCAAATCGTAAAACAAAATAACTATTAATATAACGATATTATTTTAAACACCATTAGAGTTGTAATTATAAACCGAGAAAATAAGCGGTTTGGTGACAACTTTGATATTTGAATACGAATTAGTTTAGTTAGCTGCACTTTACAGAAAATATCAACAAAAATGAGGTCAGTCAGTCAGCTACAACGTAGGACCAGGCACATATATGCATAGGTCCCAGTTGTCATACTTTGTTAGCACAACAAGATGAACACCGGATTCATAGAAGTAGTTTATTTAGTGGTGGTGGTAGTATATAAATTATAGGTTGTATATAAGGATATAGTACAGGAAGGAAAAAAGTTATGAAGCAATTTTAATCTCAAGGTTTAAGGGAAGATAGAGAGTGTATACACCTACGCCATTGTGATCGATTCTGAGCCATGTCACACAGAGTCTCCAACCATTGGTTACGATAGTCACGCGGATCCCAACCAGGTAGTCTGCATCTGCCAACATGGCTCAGACTAGAAGTTAGTGACTTCAAGCACTGATGCCACTTAACTCTCTTCCAACAATCCCCAATACTAGTCATCATAGAGCGTCGTGGTAATCGGTGTTCAGGCATACGTAACATGTGGCCCAACCATCTCAGTCGATGAAGATTCATCACCTCATCAACTGATTTACCATCATTCCCTAATACCCAGCGTCTAACCTCGCTATTACTTACCCGGTTATCCCAGCAGATGCGAGCAATATTTCTAAGGCATCTGTAGTCAAATACTAGTAACCTACGAGTATCTTCTACTCTTAATGGCCATGTTTCACAGCCGTAAAGTAGAACAGAGCGAACTGCTGCGCAGTATACTCGTTCCTTAATTGATAGACAGATATCTCGTCTTCGCCATAGGTGACGTGAGTTGGCAAAAGCCAAACGAGCTTTTTGAATCCGTGCTGAGATTTCGTCAAACATCAACCCATTAGGACTGATCAGACTTCCAAGATAAGTGAAGTTGTCCACGCGTTCGACTACTTCACTCCCTATCCTTAGTTCGAGTGTTGACGCAGGCCAGTCCTAGAGTAACAATTTACATTTGGATGGGGAGAAACGCATCCTAAACATCCTGGCATTATTACTGAGTTCCAACAGAAGACTCTGCATTTTGTCAGCGCCTTCACCAAACAGGACTACGTCATCTGCGTATTCCTATCGCTTAGTGGTCCCCCTGGTAGGAGATCAATTCCTGAAAATTCAGTCGACGATAGTGTTATTTCCAGCAACAGGTCTATAATGAAGTTAAACAAAAATGGGGATAGTGGACAAACTTGATGGGCACCACTTGAGGTTGTAACATCATATGACAGTTCGCCATAAGCTCTCACTCGACTGGTAGTGTTCGAGTAAAGAGCATTCACAAGGTTTATGTACTTCTCAGGTACACCTTCTAATGACAGACACTGCCACAGAACCTCTCGGTCTAGAGTCAAATGCTGCTTTCAAGTCAAGAAAAACTATCATTGTCGGACGCCGATAAGCATGTCTGTGCTCTAAAACTTGACGAATGGTGAATATGTGGTCGATACAGCCACGACCAGGTCTGAAGCCAGCCTGATTTTCTCGTGTATGTAGTTCACGAGTCTTAGTTAGGCGCCCGATAATTATTGAGGCTAGTATTTTAGATGCTATGTTGGTCAGACTAATTCCTCTATGGTTATCGCTGGATGATTCTAACCCCTTTTTATATATTGGAACAATCAGAAATTGTGACCAGTCGGATGGGACTACGTCCGTCTCCCAGATTTTAGCCAGAATATTAGTCAACCTAATCGCTAAAATCGGACCACCATATTTAAAGACCTCTGGAGCCAATCCATCAGGACCAGCTGCTCTTCCTCGTTTCAGATTACTTATAGCCTTTTGAACTTCAAGTAGGGTCGGGGGGCCTACTTCAATGTTCCATTCAGGTTTTCTGGGAATAGTGGGTAGTTGTGCAGTAGCTGAAAGCCATCTAAACTGCTCCTTAAAGCGTTCCGCCCATCGTTCTAAACGTTTGGGTTGAGAGCAGATAAGGGTTCCGTCTTTTTCCGAGATTGTTTCACTTACACTTCTTAATTCTGGTTTCTTTTATTAGTCTGAATAGTTGCCTGGTGTTGCCTACAGCCGCTGCCTTTTCCACCTCTTTTGCTTTCGTTGCCCACCACTGCTCACGACCGTTCCTTAGACTTTTAGTTAACCTAGATCTAATTTGTTTACGCTCTTCGTCGTGTTCAGAGCCTGATGGGATGAATTTACGCGAATCCATCAGTGAAATAGACTTAGAAGAAATCCATTGGTTTTTTGGAGCCCTATGGTTTAAATGACTAATAGATGTTACTGCTGTTTCCACAGTGTTATATGTATGTCTTTCGTATGTCTTTCCAAGCAGCATCTGGGTCAGTCTCGTTTACAGAACTGCCTAGATGTGAACTCAGTTGTTTCTGGAATTCGCATTTGGCTTTCTCGTCCTCCAGTTCAATCCTAATGGGTCTTCTTAGTGTACTTTTCCTGCGTCCATTGAGGCGCAGACCAATGCGCGCTCGTAGCAAAGCGTGATCAGAGTCTAAACAAGTATTCCAATACGAGCGACAATCTTCTACTGAGCCTCTCCAACGATGACTGATGACAATATGGTCTATTTGAGTCCATCGTTGGTTTGGTGCAGGTGGTCGCCATGTTAGACGATGTCTCTCCTTATGCTTAAAATTAGTACTTGCTAAAAATAAACGATTGTCTGAGCATAGTTGCAACAGACGATCACCGTTATCGGTTCGTTGAGCCGGAATACTAAAACACCCACCCAAATGTCTTTCTGTTTGATTTAAGCTGCCTACCTGGGCATTAAAGTCACCCGCTACGACCACTATGAGCGCTTAGCTTTATGAAGAAGCTCAGAGAGCTTTCTGTAAAAGTCATCTTTCACTTCATCATGGCTGCAGTCAGTGGAAGCGTAGGCAGAAACGACGAAAAGGCAACGACGTGTGTCCCTATCCTTCCGAGTTCTTACGGAGCCATTTAGCCGGACAGCACACAGGCGACTGTCAACGGGGATACATTCTAGTAGTGCCTGTTCTGTCCTTGTACTTAATGCTATGTCTACACCTGCAAGTCCACGAGAACTAGCCAACGGGTCGCCAGGTACACGGAGGGTGTATTTCGTTGGCTGTCCATTTTGGCGAGGTGAGGTCAAGTGAATGACCACACTGGGATCCTGTATGCGTGTTTCGGAGACACAGCATATATCAATGACACGAGATTCTAGGGTTTTAGCTAAGGAGGCCTGTTGACCGATTTGGCATAGGGTACGTACGTTGAAAGCTCCAATGTGTAGTTTGGAGCAGGGTTTTAGTAGACCTGGGACAGCGTTTCGCGCACTAGAATCGTTGGCCATGGTGACACTTGAGGAGGAAACCGGAACAGGAAGTTTAGTGTTGAAAGTCAAGGTAGAAGGAATAGTAGGAATTGAAGAAGGAGATTGATTATGAATACAGTGGTCTTGAGCGCTGTTAGAGGTATGAGGGCAGTTATCACTTCCCGGTTGCCCACACCGTGGAAGGGTTCTTCTAGAGATACCTGGAAAGGAAATTGGGTTAGAAGTGGTCTTAATGACCTGAGAGCGTGACCGCAGTGCCCAAGGGACAACTGCTTGAGGTCGGTCACACACGACCTTTTTGTGGGTAGTTTTTGTGTTAGCTCCGTTCTTCAAAGGACCTTACCGTCGGAGACGGATATCCGTGGGATAAGGCGAGGTGTGCATTTTTAGGGTCGACCTTTTCTAACCCCACCCCTCCTTGTGGGAAGGCAGCATCGCTGTCATGCCGGTTGTCTGAAGGAAAAACCTTACTGCTGTCACACCTCTGTACAGTCAACAGTACGACTTCGCCTTCGGACCTTGGGTTTGCTACTCTCAGTCTCACCGCTCTTCAAACGACCTGGCATGGTAGGACCTTGAGGAATGATTGTTCCAGCCAGTATAGCTCGGTTGATTCATCACGATAGGCAAGCCCGACCACCACGTCAAGGTAGCAGCAACGGTCGGGACAAAAATGAGGACTGAAAGTACTAACACTATCATGACTATAAACTGGAAATAAATATTATTTATTTATTTAAACACATAAATATTGGTACAAGGAAGCACCAGATAAATATGCGCCTCACAAATCTCATTCGATTTGTGTGAGGGCTGTGATACTGCCCAGGTGCCCAGACTGAAGCAGGTGGTTTTCTTAGGGGGCCACACCCGGAGCCTTTGACCTGAATGTCTGATCCACAAGGCAGTGGGGCATCGTGAGGAGATGCAGTCCCATGGTAGCCGGTGATCAACGGTTGATTCGTACGCCATTTGTTTCCTCAGGATACTGGAGCCCATGTGCACCATTGGTTTGGAATCAGGGTTTTCCAACTCCCCTAGGCGAACTTTCCATGTCCATCAACCCGGTTAAAGCGCCGGACATTCGCTTTTCGTCCTCTCACTTTCGTAAACAACACCCCCGCCACGAGAAGGCAGTGAGTAAAACTTCCCTGGCAGAGGCTATATATTCGCTGGCCATATGAGAGCATTTCGAGAGGGAGAGGTGACTCCCCACTCTCGGCCGTACCAGGGCATTTGGGGGTAGGTTAAAGCAACAAATGGTATCAAAGAATAAAAATTGACACGATGTTTTGTTCAAAGCGCAGTAAGATAAATGATGAATCGGAATCCTTTATTTTAGCAAGCTAGTCAGATTCCAGATAGCATCAGCTTATATTGTTTTCAATTTAGATCCGAAGAAAAAAACGACAAGTTAACCCATTATTACGTTGACGATCTGGAGAAGTCTGAAGAGACAATCAACAGAGACAGACAAAACCATATATATATATAGTGAAGCTCAGTGAATATTTTGTATAAAAACTCAGTAGTAGCAAACTAAAACAGTTGCAATAATAAAACTGAACAGTACAAACTTTTCAGGTTATTAGTAGACGTAGTACAACTTGTATTTTGTCAAACATTCTATAGTAACTTCGGATTTGTAATAAAATCGGTTGCGAAATGTTCGTTCAGTACTCGACACATTTAACCGACACTAGATTCTCCAGAATTTTGAACTGATAGGAAATAACGCATTTTTGGCCTGCGCTAATTGTTGTGAACAGTCAAAACAAACTCTTCTTAGTAAAAAATAACATCATCCACTTAAATAGGACTGGAGACTTACCGGTTCTGTGACAGTGATTTGGATTCTACCACTACGAATAACATATACACATTTATCCTCATCTCCAATACGAAACAGACAATCGCCTACATTCAGCTCAATTGTCTCAATGAACTTGCAAAACCTGATAAAAAATGATTTTTCCAATTGCCCAAAAACTCGTATCGAACTTATCATCAAGCGGAGATCTTCAGGTAATGAAGAGACATCTTCTTCATCTGGTTCAAAAAACGACTCAGGTAGTCGACCATAGGCCAGCGTCGGCGACTTTCCAACGTCATGCAACTTGAAGATTCTGTAGGCTGAGGGTTAAGAACAATCAAATCACTTTCTCGCGAAATTTATGATCGTGGTTCTGCGTTCTTCTTTTGTCTGTACCTTTTTTAACTCCTCCGTTATTTCGCTGAATTTGCGTCCGAACCTAATCGCATGGTACCTGATCTTATCTCTTCGTCGGAATCCTCGAGGAACTTTAGTGATTTTAACACGCAAAGGCACTATATCAACAAAAGGATTAATTTAGAAACATTAAAATACCATGAGACTTCAAGTGCCATAGAAGTAAGAATGTCGATAGACCCAGCAAAAATATAGTAAGTATAAGGAGGACGGTAGCATTCTGGAAATCTCGAGAAATCCCAACCCAGCTACTTACATACGACAAAAGAAGGCTCGGGAATATTTCTGCCAAAATACCTTCTCTTATACTTATAAGGACTCCGGCGTAAAACAAAGTGAACTTGTTAATAAGATCATAGAATGTTTCATAAATATTTGAACTGAGAGAGGATACTCTATCACAAGCTGTGCTGAAAAGCTGCATAACACCAAACTGAGTAGCCAGTCATTCAAATTCACGCTGTAACTTCAAACCCCGAATTTGAGTGTCATAATTAGTGAACCACTTAATCGTTGGAATCTATAATTGAGTAATATGAGAATTTAGTTTTTATTATGTTCCTTCCGTGAGTGAAGGATGAAGTCTCCCCCGCCGTATCGTAAGACACAAGGTGACCGTTTATTGGCATTTCGTATCTTCAATTATGATTTGGTGTTGATATGTCTTATCTTTTCGCTTCCTTCTGCACTAATGATCTCCAAGATCATACGCGATCTAATAAAATTAACATTGGGTTCCGGTTTTCCCATCGATTGGTAAGTGACTGGAACGCCTTGCCCGAACAAATGGTATCAGCCCTATCAGTGAACAATTTGAAGGAGAAGCTGGACCTTCAATGGAAGGCTAATACATGTCCACCGACCTACTAACCGCACTACTGAAAGCTGAAGATTGTTGTATTAGTTGTATAACCTAAATTAATGGGCAACAAAGATCCATGAGTCAGCAGCGACCTTAAACCTACTAGTAACTGCGGAACTTCCTCTGTCCATCCTCTTAAGAATGTCGATTTAGATTCAACTCTGGGTAATTGTACTAAGTACGAATGGGATAACACAGTTCAAATAGCTGTCAGTGCAACAACCAGTTAAGGTAGCTGTACAACGGATAACGAGAAAACTAGTCATAACAATTATATAACTGACCAAACAATTAACGTCGATGTATTCGGACCTTGCAAACCGTCGCAAAAATATATTTGAAAACACACGATTCTCCCAAAATTACGTAGGAGCCAAAACAAACCAAAAACCTTGGAAATAAGCGTCTAGAAAATGTTGCCCATACATCAGGTATAAATAGTAATCTAAATTGTAAATGGTCACTTGGTCGCACACATAGACCTGATAGCCTTCTTGGTCCGGCTCCCAATATGCAAACTATGCCTTTATCAGATGTAATATCCAATAGCAGTGGGAAAATTTTTTTTGCGCTTCCGCCGGCTTTTCTGCTGGCAACAGTAAACATATTTCAAATGATGACAAAGATATTTCCGATCGCAACACAACTCTTACCTTACCCAATCCTACCACTATTCATGAAAATACCAATTGTGATTTATACTCTAACCTGCTTCACCATGATAATTCTCAATTTCTTATTCTTTCGTTAAATGTCCGCCCTATGCCCAATAAAATTACTCACCTTAAAACTCGTTTATTCCCTGTAAATCCAACTATTGTACTTATTACGGAAACATGGTGCAATTCATCTATATCTTACCAATCCTTGCATGTAGATAATTACGTTTTCTTTAAAACCGATAGATGTTATGGATTAGGAGACGGTACAATTATCTATTTCCATTCGGACATTCAGGCCTGCAAGTTTGAGGATAAATCTCTTGATGCTATAGACGACTCCACTCGGGTTACTGTAAACTGTGGATCTCAAAATTATCTGCTAGTTGGATGCATATACAGACCACCTCTTACAGATACTAAGTTTAACAGATTACTAACAAACATGATCTGCTATCAACTTTTATAGATTATATTTACTAAACAACCCTGCTTGGGATGCATACTGTGAACTAGTATATGTTGTAACTTGTAGATCATGCCTGTAAAAATGGCGTGTACCTGCCCTTGCAGAAATATATTATTTTTTTCCCTTGCTTCACACCAACCAGATACTTTTAAAATCATCGGAGGTGACTTTAATATGTCAAACGTTACATGGGGTTCGACTCCGATAACATGTCGATATTACAAGTTAGTTGAAACACTGGAACTTTGTGGATGGGTCCAACAGGTCCGAAAACCGACTGGGAGAAATAATATACGTGATATATTGTTACCAACCAACATAGATTCTTTCACATTGCATATCAGTCATGAGTTTTTATGAGTGATTGTATTGAGTATTATTCAATCTTTAGACGCCATACAACTGAATTATAAAGGTGCAATGATGTACCAGAGTAGACACTTTGATAAAGAAACCTGGAAACGGACTGAAACTCTTATTCGTTGTTTACCACGGGAAACTTATTTTATCACAAATAATATTGAAATCGCGCTTTCTGATTTATACCACAACCTGATATATTGCTTCAACCTCGCTGCTCCATTTATTAGCCATGTGGCTTATAACGCCAATAAGGGCCGGAATACTTTTAAAACATTCAAAAGAAAGCTGAGGAAATAAAAACACCACTACCACGAGCATAAGGACTTGTATGCACCTCAGCGTATATTTAACTAACAGAAACTCTTCATCTAAAAGCAAGTATTTTATGAATATAGAAAATAAAGCCCTAGTTAGTAAAGACTCACAATTATCAATACTCCGGCTTTTTAAATCCCATGTGAAGTCGAATTCTCTTGTCACGACTAAATTCTTCATAGTTAACGGAGGCATTGTCGACGACCCTGATATTATTTGCAAACAATTCAGCCAGCATTTCTCACAATCCTACAACACTGGAACTGAAAGCTCTATCAATATATTGCCAATGGTGACATCAAGGCATCTATCAAAAATTGATTCCATACCCTTCAACACCAAACGGGCCATAGCTACCCCGAAAAAGTCTTATGACAGTAGAACTGACGAGATTCCCTCATCAATTGTGAAATACGGTAGTACAGAATTCAGGTTATTCTGTTTTAAATTGTTCAACCCATCTTTGGAATATGGAGCCTATCCATCTGTATGGAAAACATTTCTTACCACCCTTAGATTCAAAAGGGGATCACGTAGTGACATTGTTAACTATAGGCCCAATAGCTTGACATCCCTGTTATCAAGAACCATGGAAAAAATCATCCACAAACATATATTATCATATTTACTTTCAGCTGTCCTGATTAGCCCATCCCAACACGGGTTTATGACTAAACGCTCATGCTTCACATTGTATTTGGAATTTTTCAATCAAATTACCCAGAGAAGAGATGTTGGCCAGTCAGTGGTAATTCTTTACTTCCATTTTAGTAAGGCTTTTGACAGTGTCTCACACAAATTTCTTCTTCCCAGGCTCTCTTCATTTGACATACAGAATCTGTTTTTATCTTGGCTAAAATATTTTTTAGAAGAACGCAGCCAGATCGTCCTCTTTGTATCTTGCCACTCTCAACCTGTGAGTGTAACCAACCCAGTCTCCTTGGTGATTTTCTTTCCGAAAGTGGATTGTGTCACCTATTGAATATCAATCTGTTTAACAATGATTTATACAAACGAGGTCCGTCGTTTATTTAATTGACTGAAATACAAAGTGAAACCTTTAAAACTTTTCACGTCCATCTTATTTTATTTTTATTCATCTTAATGTACGAAGTCAGCTTATGTTCGCATTTGTAATCATTACTGTTACTCATAGCATTATTGGTCCCTCGACACATTAGATATTCTTTTCATCTCTTCTTGTCCTTCTAAACAGATGTTATTCCTAAACGTCCAAAGTCTATAATCAAAAGCAAAAAAGAAATTACCCTATGTTACACTTAGACAAATTAACTTCTCATATTTACTTTATGTTCACTACATACATATAACTTAGAAATTTATATTTGATTATCGCGGACAACATCACAAAAGTTTAATACGGCCTTTCTTCGAGATGCTGACAAACTCAACAAATTCAACATAGCCCCCAGCAACAGGTTCGAGGCCTTTCATGATCTACTCAATGGAGAGGGAACTATCATGGAGAGCAACTAGAAAGGTATCAAGGAGGCAATCGTTTCAACATGTCAGGAGGTTGTGGGCCAAAAGAAGCACCATCACAAGGAATGGATCACTGTTGGTACACTGGATAAAATTGAAGAAAGAAGGAACAAGAAGGCAGCAATCAATATCAGCCTAACAAGAGCGGAAAAAGCCAAGGCACAAGCCGAATACACAGAGGCAAACAAGCAAGTGAAGAGGAGCATCAGAACCGACAAACGTAAATATGTGGAAGATTTAGCGATGACATCGGAAAAGGCTGCAAGAGAGGGAAACATGAGACAACTGTATGATACAATCAAGAAACTTGTTGAAAATTACCGTAAACCAGAAAGACCAGTGAAAAGCAAGGAAGGCAAAGTAATCACCGACATTGAAGAACAACGAAACAGGTGGGTAGAACACTTCAAGGAACTCTTAAATCGACCAGCTCCATTGAACCCACCCAACATCGAAGCAGCACCCACAGACCTCCCAATTGATGTTGGCCCACCAACAATTGAAGAGATCAGCATGGCCACTAGACAAATCAAGAGCGGCAAAGCAGCGGGACCAGACAACATCCCGGCAGAGGCACTGAAAGCAAATGTAGAAGCAACTGCCAAGATACTCCACATCCTCTTCAGTAAGATTTGGGACGAAGAAAAAGTTCCAACAGACTGGAAAGAAGGACTTCTGATCAAGATATCAAAGAAAGGCGATCTCAGCAAGTGCGACAACTACAGGGGCATCACTCTCCTCTCAATACCAGGAAAAGTCTTCAACCGAGTATTGTTAAACAGGATGAAGGATTCCGTGGACGCCCAACTTCGAGATCAACAAGCTGGATTTCGTAAGGATAGATCGTGCGCAGATCAAATCACAACTCTACGTATCATTGTGGAACAATCAATCGAATGGAACTCATCACTCTACATCAACTTCATCGACTACGAGAAGGCATTTGGATAGCGTGGACAGGACGACACTATGGAGGCTTCTTCGACACTACGGAGTGCCTGCCTGAGAAGATAGTCAATATCATACGGAACTCCTATGATGAACTAAACTGCCAAATCGTGCATGGAGGACAACTCACCGACTCGTTTGAAGTAAAGACCGGTGTTAGGCAAGGTTGGTTACTCTCACCGTTTCTCTTTCTCCTGGTGATCGACTGGATCATGAAGACGCCAACGACTGGAGGAAAGCACGGGATACAGTGGACAGGCAGGATGCAACTTGACGATTGAGACTTCGCAGATGATCTGGCTCCTCTATCACAAACGCAAAAACAAATGCAG